TGACCCCCCTCATAGACAAAGGCGGATTCAGAGCGTAGGTCCGGATGTCCTAACCCCCCTCATAGACAAAGGCGGATTCAGAGGGGGGGGGGGTCCGGATGTCCTGACCCCTCTCATAGACAAAGGCGGATTCAGAGCGTAGGTCCGGATGTCCTGACCCCCCTCATAGACAAAGGCGGATTCAGAGGGTAGGTCCGGATGTCCTGACCCCCCTCATAGACAAAGGCGGATTCAGAGCGTAGGTCCGGATGTCCTAACCCCCCTCATAGACAAAGGCGGATTCAGAGGGGGGGTCCGGATGTCCTGACCCCTCTCATAGACAAAGGCGGATTCAGAGCGTAGGTCCGGATGTCCTAACCTTCCTCATAGACAAAGGCGGATTCAGAGGGTAGGTCCGGATGCCCTGACCCCCCTCATAGACAAAGGCGGATTCAGAGCGTAGGTCCGGATGTCCTAACCCCCCTCATAGACAAAGGCGGATTCAGAGGGTAGGTCCGGGTGTCCTGACCCCCCTCATAGACAAAGGCGGATTCAGAGCGTAGGTCCGGATGTCCTAACCCCCCTCATAGACAAAGGCGGATTCAGAGGGTAGGTCCGGGTGTCCTGACCCCCCTCATAGACAAAGGCGGATTCAGAGGGTTGGTCCGGATGTCGTGACCCCCTCATAGACAAAGGCGGATTCAGAGGGGGGGTCCGGATGTCCTGACCCCTCTCATAGACAAAGGCGGATTCAGAGCGTAGGTCCGGATGTCCTAACCCCCCTCATAGACAAAGGCGGATTCAGAGGGTAGGTCCGGATGTCCTGACCCTCCTAATAGACAAAGGCGGATTCAGAGGGTTGGTCCGGATGTCCTAACCCCCCTCATAAACAAAGGCGGATTCAGAGCGTAGGTCAGGGTGTCCTGACCCCCCTCAGACAAAGGCGGATTCAGAGGGGGGGTCCGGATGTCCTGACCCCTCTCATAGACAAAGGCGGATTCAAAGCGTAGGTCCGGATGTCCTAATTCCCCTCATAGACAAAGGCGGATTCAGAGGGTAGGTCCGGATGTCCTGACCCCCCTCATAGACAAAGGCGGATTCAGAGCGTAGGTCCGGATGTCCTAACCCCCCTCATAGACAAAGGCGGATTCAGAGGGTAGGTCCGGGTGTCCTGACCCCCCTCATAGACAAAGGCGGATTCAGAGGGTTGGTCCGGATGTCGTGACCCCCTCATAGACAAAGGCGGATTCAGAGGGGGGGTCCGGATGTCCTGACCCCTCTCATAGACAAAGGCGGATTCAGAGCGTAGGTCCGGATGTCCTAACCCCCCTCATAGACAAAGGCGGATTCAGAGGGTAGGTCCGGATGTCCTGACCCTCCTAATAGACAAAGGCGGATTCAGAGGGTTGGTCCAGATGTCCTAACCCCCCTCATAGACAAAGGCGGATTCAGAGCGTAGGTCAGGGTGTCCTGACCCCCCTCAGACAAAGGCGCATTCAGAGGGGGGGTCCGGATGTCCTGACCCCTCTCATAGACAGAGGCGGATTCAGAGCGTAAGTCCGGATGTCCTAACCCCCCTCATAGACAAAGGCGGATTCAGAGGGTAGGTCCGGATGTCCTGACCCCCCTCATAGACGAAGGCGGATTCAGAGCGTAGGTCCGGATGTCCTAACCCCCCTCATAGACAAAGGCGGATTCAGAGGGTAGGTCCGGGTGTCCTGACCTCCCTCATAGACAAAGGCGGATTCAGATGGTTGGTCCGGATGTCCTGACCCCCCTCATAGACAAAGGCGGATTCAGAGGGGGGGTCCGGATGTCCTGACCCCCCTCTTGAGTTCTGCGTGTGTAAAAATTTAGGGCGTGGAAACGGATAAGGGTGGGGTCTTAAACATTTGATACGCTGACCAACACCTGACCCTCACCCTCAAGAAATACCTGCGTCCGCCCCTGCTCATAGATATGTATTCTTTCTTTGAGTATGTCTGCAGAGAGTTTTTGCATGACCGTCCCACAAGGAAGACCTCAGACAGTGCCTACAGACTGTCTTTTGTATGACGCATTAGCAGTGTGATCGCATACGCCGCTCAGGTGTACAGGTGCGCATGCCCTAAACAACGCAAACACGCCTTGGACAATATTGCTCTCCGCAGTGATGCGTAAGCTCTCTCTATTATAGCCTTCAATCGGACTGGCTTCCTTTTCATTCCGTGGACTTTTCATTCGTAGCGACGGCGTATGCTCTGCACCAGATGTGGGAAGCGTGCCTGGTGAAGGAAGTTTGGGACAGAGCCACAAAGGCCCTATGCGCTTTTATGTGTCGCTTGTCGAGTATGTTTTAATATTCCGAATAAAATCAGTGGCGTAAGGCCGGAGAAAAGTTAGGGGACGGAAGAAAGGAAGGGGTCGGTTACATTCCCACTCATACGAACTGTTCTTCGTAATAATTGGAAGTCATCGAACAAACATGACCTTTGAATCTATAAAAGTGAACATAGGTAAGGTCACGCGGGACCAAGTTAAGAGAGTTTGCTCGTCCACTCTCATCCTGAGGTAGCCACAGCTATGCATGTTGTAGACTCCCTTTCTTCTCTGCTCATACGTACCCGTACAACGCTCTCCTAACGCCCCCTCCCACTTTCTCCGCTCCCCCAAGCTGTCAGACCCTTCCCACGCGCCTGTCTAAAGCGGCTGCAATCATATATAAAAAAAAAGATTTTTGTGAGCTACGCGGCGCACGGCGCAATAGACTAAATCGTGAGCTGCTCCATCTCCCAAAGCGCGCGTCACGAAGAGAAAGGAAGCCAGTAAAGTTAAATATCAAAGAAATGAGAATGGCAAGCACGTCACACAAAGTCAGTGCGTACTTACGTCTCGCCATCGATGGCATGCCGGTAAGTCCTTTTTTTGGCTACCTGTTTTCTTGCAGGCCGCCGACTGTACGCGCTTTGAGAACAATAGCACGCAACTTGCGAAATGCAGAAATATAAGCGTTTTCAATGGACGGCGCATGGCCTTTCTGAACGCAAATACAAAATTAAATTCGCACTTTTTTCGGTTTTCTTCTTTTTATTGACCAGACTTCAGTGATCAAAGTACACCAATGTCTTCAAACCTTCCATAAAAAAAAAAAAAAGAAAAAAAAAAAAAAAAAGAAGAGTCGAGTTTATTATTTTTCGGATGTCAAACCAGAGGCCCCCACGTAGTTGAGCAGCCGAGCACTGGGCCTCGGAGGCAGGCAGCGCGTGAGATACAGACTCCGGACCGGCCGTCCCTTAGCACCTGCGCCCAAAGTCGTGACCGGCCGACGCCCTCGCTCTCGAGAGCCAAGGATGAAGCGAAAGACCATCAAAAAATGCCCTCCTGCCCGCAGCAGCAAGCACGCGGCGGCTGGCAAAAGGAAGACTCTGGAGGCCTTGCTTGCAACTCGCAGGTGCAAGCGAGGGTGCATGCCTCTCCGTTTGTGTATAGGAACGGCCCTCGTGGACCTTCCATCGCGCTCGGACGTCGTGCGCGTAACTCGTGGGTTTCAACGTTGGAAACTGCTTGATCTCCACTCGACCCACCTGGTGCTTCGAGTGCATGATTGCGGCAAAGCACAAAGAGCAATGGATCGAGCGAGATGTCGAAAGTACAGAGCGATTAGGCTGCGTTGCTTGATGGACTCTTTGTATGACTAATAGTTTACATTTGTGATTTTTGATCGATTGGCTAGCAGCCTAATTATTATAAATAAAAATTTAAAAACACACTCAAAAACACAGGCGCAGGTATACATCCGTGCGCGCACAGGCGGAGATGACCCGGTCGGAATAACTATACTCAACATGATGGGCATGCCGAACATAACTCAGGAACCACTGTCCGGAATCGTCAAGACCGAAGAAACAAAACATAATTTCTGTGATAATAAATAAATAAATGAATAAAAGGTCAGTACTGAAACAAATGCAGTCATTTACGCTCGAGTCTGACCGACTGTGTTTTCTTTCTTTTTTTTTTTCGTTCCGCTGCGATGCGTTGCGTTGTGTCAATACGCAAAAAAAAAAAAAAAATAGTGACGGGGAATATTAACTTGCCATCCTCCTTATTTCATTTAGGTATCAACATCCACAGTCGCCTCTGCCGCGGCGTTTACCGTGGCTTCTCACGTAAACGGGCTGCGAACACGAACGAAGTGGAAGCTCCTCCCACACCTTTCCACTTTAGTAGAACGAACGTTGGAGAGGAGGCGACCTCCTCTTCACCGTTCGCTCCGCTGAAGTGGAAAGGGGTGGGAGGAGCTTCCACTTCGTTCTTGACTTGTCACCGGCGGTATTCGTATTCTCGTCATCAACACGATCAACTATCCAGGGAGGTATCCTAGCCCACCTTTTTCACCATGCACACACAAGCAACTAGGACAAACACAAAAAAAAAAAACGTGGTCTTTTTGGGTGGGTGGAAGAAACACGACGACGTCTTTGAGACGTCGTCGTGTTTTTTCTACCCAGTCTCAGGTGGTCAAAAATGGTAAACAAAAAAGTTGTATCTTGTAAATATTGTCCTTGCTATGATAAAATACCGTGCTCAGAGATGTTAATCTACAGTTGGCGAGAAATACCGTACAACGCTGATCGCCCTAACCCCAAGGATTGAATGTCTCCTCGCGTTTGTCGGGCACGAAACTAAAAGCGCGAGAGATAAGACGTGCGAAAGGAAGGGGACAGGAAAATAAGCGACGTTTGGGCGCACGTCATCTACCACGAAAAACAAAACCGAAACTACCCAAGAAAATTGAGCTACAGAGTCCACAGAGTCCACGGCTGTGTTCCAAAGTTTCCAAATCTCACCCAAAGGGATCCGAGTTACTCCGGCGGGTCGTGTCACGTGACAACGCAGATTGAAAAGTGCTGGACGCGGGTAGGTAGGTTTTGAAACGCCAAGGTACAAAACTTTTACCCTGGAGGAGGATCGAGTAAGTTTTGGAACACGGCCTAAGCCAAAGTGGATCCAAATGAGCTCTCCTAAGCCTATGCCCTTCTAAACCGAAACTAATTCTGCTCAAGCATACAGAGTGCCAGGTGGCGCAACGTGTCTTTTGTCCAAGAAATCGAGAGTGCACGGGCGTGCCAACTAACCTTGACGCTGCCATAAACGTCGTCACTTGGCGTTATAGCTGCGTTAAATCTCGTTTAATTCCCCTAGTTAATTATGCCATCGCCGAGCGAAGGAGAGCACGAAGGGGGGTTCAGTTTCCGTAACTGGATATCACGTTTACCGCCGTTTACAGCAGACAACATCTACAGGATCTACCTGCCGATCGCGGGTGCAGTCAGCTACTGCACGTTTTCGGTAACCGTTTTTATACCAGAATTTCTCTCAAGGTGAGTTAATTCACGTGCTCTAACCGTCCTCAAATTAAAGAGCTATCCTTGGACTGCTAACCGGCAACTAGATACGTCGCAGCGTACGACCGGCGAGAGGTTCAGACTCGAGGGCTTGAGCCCCCGATGACCTATGGCTATGCAATGCCGGTGGTCGAGAGTCGATAAAGCCTTGGCTTTGGTTACCGCCAAAGGCTTTTGCACTAATTCCGCGTACTAACTTTTTCTCTTTTTCTTTAACGCAAGTTTTTACGATGTTTTGACGCGGATTGCGGAGAAAGCAGTCAACTCGGCTCAGCATCTTCCCTGTGGGTGTTTCACGGCGATATTTGCGACAAACTCATCTCGGTCCATATTTCAGCCAGGACGGTCGCCTAGGGGCACGTGTTGCTAGCTTATTGTTGATATAAGCAACTGCAACCAATAACTTACAACCAAAGAAGTGTCAGGTCTCGGTGCGGTAACCCTTCCACTTTTAAATCGGCGCTTCCAGTGATACTCATCCAAGTCATCTAAGCGCCAGAATCAGCATATGTATCCTTCAAATTCTCTCCGGCTTTGCCCTTGAAGTTGTTGTCAGAGCTTGTATAAGTTGCTTTAAGCAAGCAACATGCATAGGTAGTTCTTTGCAGTTTGTAACAAAGTACTCGACCAGACTTCCTCAGGCTGAGATTGCACTTGAAATATAAGGTGACGATTCATTGAACATAAGAAAGGATAAACACATAATATAAGAAACAACACAAGCATATTTTAGTGAGTTTTTCATATACATTAGAAAGTGTAAACACAATAAAATCTTCCACGAACAGATGACAACTAGCCCTTTCCCTCAAATTAGTTGTTTTCTTACTATTTGTTGAGTCAGCAGGGATACACTCCCAGCTTTCCATGCTGAAAGCCTGGAATGATGGTGCAGGTTTCAAGTTGCTATGCAGCATCTCGATTACATGCTATGTTGTCCACATGAGGTTCATACCTTCAGGCTAAGATAAATTTAAACTGCCTTAACTATTCTCATTTCTCCTGCAGCGTGATGCTCCAGATAATGAAAAAAAGAGGCAGTGTTTGCCCACTAATCGTGTTTCCCACTTCCAGGTTATATCCAGACCAGAGCGTGATGGTGGCCAACTGCCTGCTGTTCAACTCCCACGTCGGCACAGGGCTGTACGTCTACTTCAGGCCCCACATGAGGAAGGCACAGCCGTACCACCGCGTCATGTACAGCGCCTACCAGGCCGTGCTCTTCAACTTCGGCTCTGTACTTCTCTGGGCAGTGACCAAGTCGCTGCTTCCACAGTCCCACCTGGTGCGCTCCATCTTTGCCGTCTCCACGTCAGCGTGCTTTCTCACCATTGGCAAAGAATATTTAGACTTCCTAGATGCACCAAGCTCCGAGCAGGGTACGGCACCAACCTCGTACACATCGGTGTGAAGAGCTGTCGGGTTTTATTAGCAAGGCCTGTCCAATAATTGTTCAATCATTGGCGATTATTCAACGAGCTGACGATTGTTCAGTCGACGGCAAGCATATCTCAAAGTAGGGACGCACAGTTAGTGCAAGCTGTTTGCACAACTGCTGGCAAAGAGGAAACAAAAGTGCAAACTATAGGGAAGCTACCCATGGGTGTAAAGCTCAAATGAGTTTGAAGGAAAATAAATTTTTAGTGTCCTTCCCTCCAACAGCGTTAGTGCACGAGTGCTTTGAAACAAAGTTGAAGAACGTCAAGTTGCTTGTTTTTGGTGAGGCCTTATTATGCTGCCTGAATTAAGTCCATTCGTTTACTCGAAAAGAAAATTGATTGGTTGCTGTCGTCAAGAGCTATGTTCACTAGTTTAGCGAAGCGTCGGATATTTGTATGTTTTTTTCTCGTTGTGGCATTTTGCGATTGCACACGAACCAAGGTGTAGGTGAGATTTACTATTGTTAAAAGCATTCCCGCCAGCCACCAGTCCTGCTCAATTGGTTTTATTCACTAGTCTTCGAGGTCATGAGACTGTGCAGCTTTTTAACTGTAGATTGCTTGCCACACATCAGCAGGTTACTACCATTCAGATCTGCAAGTGGATTGCTAGCATTTTTGTCTCGAAATAAATGGTCTAGGAAGCATTCAGCTGTGAAATGAAAATGAAAGGTCATCAGCAAAATGTTCTCTCGAATAAAGCTATTTTCTGCTGTCAAACATTACAGCCCAAGGTCTTTGTGCTCAGAGCATGTGTTATATAGCATAAATATACCGTAAAATCCCGAGAGATGTCCCACCCCCCGAAAAATAGCCCACCCCATTTTTGACTTAATTTGCTATATTTTCTTAAACACCAAAAGATAGCCCACTTCTAGTAATAGTAGTGTTGGGATCAATGATGGCCTCGACGTATATGCAGCTAGTCCGCTATGGCGGGATATAAGTGAACGTTGCCAACTGGGAAGTACAGTCGCCTTTGCTTCATTGCCCCTCACCACCATAATAAGCTTGGAAGGGAGATGACCTAAAAATAGCAATTTTTCAAAAATTTTCTTCATTGTACATTGAAAGTCCCCACTCCATCAGTGGCATCACAAGGGGGGTGGGGCAGAGCGCTTCGGGTGGAGCGCTCGGGCGGGTGTCGTGGCAGGCCACGAGACTGTAGGGGGTGGGAGGGTGTCGCGGAGGGCTACCGCCCTGGGTTCCACTGATTCTAGTGATGCCACTGCACTCCATATTTTCAGCCGATTTTCTCTCGATGTTAGGTGGGCTATCCCGAGATATCTCACCTAACATCGAAAGAAAATCGGCTGCTGTGTTGCCTGCACAGTGCCACCTGAAAAAAGTTCCTAGAAACAGTCTCCCTTTGAGAAGGGAGATGCTTTGCAAGTAGTACTGTCGATGCCCGTTACTATAGTGGCAATACACTCAATCAGTTCAAGTGTAGCGTTGACATAACTATGCGGAGAGCAAGTCTGCTTCTTGCGCAGGAGTAGCGGCGACGTCGGAACAACGCTGAGCTCTGATGGGCTTTGATTGAAAGGACAGAGGTAGTGGGTAAAGCTCAATGCCAGATGCCTTGAGGTCTAGCCACTATTTTTTTCAATCGACCAATAAGACCTTGGCATTCAGACACCATCGCAACCCCTGTGCAGGTAGCAACCAAACTTGCACTCGGCATTAGCTCCTGGAAAAACCTGGTATGCTCATACTCTGATAACCTCACCGGGATACCTAAAATCTAGGCAATAGATGCGATAGAATAGAATGTTTCATCGACTGCCATAACTAATATGTTATTTTACTCCTTGCAAATATAGCTTTTTTTTTTCTTAAAAGTTTGCCTATATTGATTAGAAAACAAAATAAAAACAACAGAGGGGCACAGCTTTCTGTGTGCATAATGCTGACATGGCATCCCTATTTAACTGTCCATGGCAGAAATGTGCGACCGTGAAAGCCGTTTATTTTCGTGCAATCAAAAGCCTTCTTCGATACCAATGCTGAAAATGCCTGGGGGTCGTGATGCAGCGTTTCTGTGGAAAATTCAGCCCCGTGAAATAGCCTTCAGCCATTGTTTCTCGCGGTCCCCTTTGCTTGGTTCTGGGCACCTTGTAAGCATACATTATTCGAGTCTTGGATGCCAACATTCCTCTGGGGTGACACACACCTCTGCTCCGCTAGGAACAGGAAGTAGAAAAAAGGGCGTGCGACATTTGTATAAAGGCGAACAGGGTTGCACTCGAGGAACAAACACCCAAAAACTGCTCTTTCTGAAGTGCACTGACAGTCCATGCCACCTTCTAGTACTGGAACTCGTTTTACAAACGTAGCTCACTTTGAATGCAAGGCATATCCCTGAAGCAACATTTGGCATGCTTCAAGATCACTCCTAATTGTTTGCAAGGGTAAGAGGGTAATTTTGTGATTCTGAGGTGTACAAACACCATGTGTTCTGCAAGCCATTATACTTGATAATGACTGTTGGAACTATAAGGTCTATCAGACTACTAGACATTGTTCCACATAAAAAAAAAATTTGTGTAACATTGTAGAACACAAAAACAAGCACAGCTTGAATGAATGGGAAGGGGAATATATATGCAATTTATAATTTCATGGCAAATGTAAACAAATCCAATGAGCATGAACTGCATTAACTTTAGGCAATATGAAAACTTTCAGACACTCAATCGTTACTAGTTGCTCACATTTTGTACAAGTGGCTAAGTACATGTTAAAGCAATTAACATTGATAAGCACGTTTAACTTGCTCAGTCAGCTTTGCTGCAAGTATTTCACTAGTGCACATAACCAACCGTATGTATATCACATGAAAAGATTTCACCTAAGATTGTGCATCACATTTGTTTGTGCAATGGCTATGTTTTAAATGTGAGGTCTCCTTTTTAACCACTCCAATACAGTGGCCAAAAGAATTTTTACAAACTTTCTGCATGTATTCCATACAACATACCTACATAAACATTTTTCCTGCAAATGGTGAATTAATGTACTACTGGCACAGTTCCTATATAATTCATACCTGTGAGATGAATGGCATGTACATACCAAAGGAATGCATTTCATAATAGTAATTCAAATGTAGGAACAGAATGAATGTGCACACAACCAAATACAAGTGGGTGCATTACCTGCCAGCATGTAATGCATTCTCTGTGACTGCTTCTTGACTCTCACAACTCCCCAACTTTCATTATGGGAAATCTTTTTGTTGAGGGGAAAAGTGACTAGATTTCATAAACATTTATTTTTTTTCCAAGCATTGAATCATTCTTTAAAGGGATACTGAACCGAAATTTGGATTTCGCAAAGTAAAGCTGCAGAAGTGTTGAACCGGACGCTACAAACTCCAAAACATCACTCGTACATCGATATCTCAACCGAACGGCCATACTTGTGGAAAAGAAGGGCGCGATCCAGCGAGTTCTTTGATGTAACTGTCCTCCGGGCGAATATGAGAACGAGGAGAAGCGGCCTCGCTTCTCTCCTCCTCGCTTCGGTTCACCACCTTGACGGTACGTAGCGCGGAGGAGAGAGAATGGGAATCGTGACGTACCTTGTCTCGTCGGCCTCGGCGGCCGGGTTCAATCGCGCACTTGTTTTCCAAAAAATATGGCGATCCGTTAGATACATCGCCGTATGAGTGATATTTTTTGGTTTTGCAGCTTCCCGCCTATCCGTCCGGCCTTGTTTAGTGAGCTCGAAATTTCCGTTCAGTATCCCTTTAAAAGTGAGGGCTGAACAATTTTTGAACTTTTTTTACAAGGGAGGTATCTATTTTCCGACGGTCAATCAAGCAAGACGAAATTAGAGAGAAGAGGATTGCTCCTTCCAAGCCCTTGTGACTCCAAAATTAACTTAGCTCATGTACCCTCCCAATACATAGCACGCACGTGACACAGACTTGTACATGTTACTAAAAAAAAAGTAAGGAATTAAATTTACAATTATTCATGGCTTAATGCAACTAATTACGGTTACAATTACACTTCCATAAAAGTGACCGTTGCTTTTAACCTTACTGTCCTAGGGTAAGAAACAAGACAAGCGTTTATCGTTGTTGCAACTCAAGCTTTTGTTACCTTGAATATCATCTGGCCCTAACAGTCTCATCGGACATCTTGCCTCCTTTCTATGTGAAGATGTCCCCCGCACTGCACTTCGACATTTTTTTGTTTTGTTTGTATTTGTTTTTTGTTGGAAGGAAACAATTTGAACTTGGGAGTTTACTTATTATTGTTTTGCACGGAGAGTTTGGTGTTTGTATCGGCGTACTTCCCAATTGGTTGTGGGCGAGCAAGCTGACGAGTTACGATTTGCTAACAACCAAACCACCAAAGATAAATATTTGAGTCAAGATTTTAGGTGATGTGAACAAAGGCTTTGAGCATCTAAAGAATGCCAGTCCTTGCGCTTCGTAAACGCAGGTGACAGTTTGATTCCGGCAGAACTTGCTTTTACAAAAAAAGAATATATATCTTTTACAATTTTTTTTGTCAATATTCAAAGTTCCTGCATTTTTCCCCCGTGAATGAAAACGAAAATGCAACGGATTATAATCATTTCCTTAAGTAAAAGAAAAAAGGAAATTACTTTACGATTACTTCCTGAAATATGTAATAATTCCCTTACAAAATTACCGATAAATGTAAGGAATTACAAGTAATTTCGTTACTTGTAACAGATTATGTACAAGTCCAATGCGACGCCAGTCCATCCCTCTTTCTGGTGGCCAGAAGTGCCTCGTTAACGCAGCAGAAGCTGCCCCATCCACAGCCTTTCCCCCATCATGTCTAGCCAAGTGACGTCGGCGCAAGCTGTGTATACACAACAAAATCATTCAGTCAACAAGCTGCTCTTTGTATGTCCCCAAAAGACCTGAAATGTAAGCCTTCAGTTACTCAAACACTTGCCCTGAGAAACTGCTTACAATGCTCAGTATGTACAGTGAAGCCCTTCACTTGCAAGGCTGGAATTGTTCCAAGCGAAGGTGCCGTGTTCCTGAAGGAGTTGTCGTGGTATCTATAGAGCTGTCATACTCTAGACTGGAACCATTTCCAAACCTTTACGCTCAGCAAGGAGCCAGACTTGCAGTACTAGAGTCACTGGCAAGTTAACAACTGCAGGGTGTGGTAAGTCCCGGCCAGCTTATTATCTGTTTGCAGCCAATGAGATCGCAGCATTAGCCAATAAGAACACCAAAGAATGAATCACAAAACCGAGGTGCAGGACCATAATATGCATTTGTTAAGCCGTTCGGGACCGGCGTAAATATAAGTAATTACTACTAAATAACCGTAATATTAACAGATTTATACACCTCAAGAGATCACACAGCAGCAAAACTTTCGAAGGAATGGAATCGGATTCGGGCACCGCACAAACAATGGATCAAGGACGTGACTCCTGTCCAATTAAAAAGGACGAAACAGTCTTCTCTTTCTCACTAGTTATATTTACGAGACAGCTAGCGGTGGCACAATGTTGAGTAGAAAAATAATCGCGGGTGCTCGCACGCTCTGGTCGCGAGCAGGATTTCAATATCACAGACGGTCGGACCGCAAACATTCACTTGGTCTTCTTGCGCTGCGAAACACTCGTCGACGATTCCGAGAGGCTCCGGCTGCCCCTGCTGGTGGACACCTCTATGGCACACTGCCGTGGGAACCAGCCCTTGGCTCTCTTCACTGCGAGACACACGAGAGGCACGTGTTCGGGTGAGTTCTCGGGCTCCGACCCTCGGAGATTGCTGCAGGGCATTCATTTTTGTCTGCCATGCTGGCTGTGCGTCGAGGCTGCCAAACAGCCAGTCCATACAACATGTAATGCCAAGATTATGCAAAGCCTAATAGGTAGCAAAGGGCTGGATTTTCTACACCCCAGGGCGGGGCACAGAATGACAATCTGCATCAGCGTTCAGTTGGGACTGGTGTCTAAGCTGAACGCCGATGCAATGCCCCATGCTAGCTGTAGAAGATTCAGGACTGCGGCCTCATTCTCTAGAAGGTGTTGGCTGATGGCGTGAGCATACCATTCAGTGTGGCATTATGCAATCGAATATGCCACTGAGTGCTCGTGGGATGCTGTCTGCAGAAACCTTGCAAAAGTACAGGCAATTCCTTTTGCTTAAAGGGACACTAACAGGGTATTTATGCTCGCCAAGGTTTTTATTTGTACATGACACACGAGAGCCCAACTACCCAGAACATAATCTGTGGCTCGAAATTCGTTTTCTTTCTGCCCAAAAACAGCCGATCGAGAATTGGTCGGTCTGAGTCGCGCTCACTCTCTCCTTTGTGGTCACATGCCGTTTTCTATGGTTTAGACACAACCACCAAATATAATCAGTCGTGGGTCACCGAAAACACACACTTAATATAAAAAAATAGAAACAGAAATAGGATCCCCACTTTTTTGTAGCCTTTACAAACTCTAAACACGTTAAGTGAAAAAAAAAAAAAAAAGTTGCACAGTTACGTGATTTTTGGCAACACTCTCCTCCTCTAGATTTCTTCTTCCACCCCAGTCCAGTTTATTTATTTATTTCACAATACTGCAGGCCCTGTTAGGGCCCAGGAAGGAGTGGGGGAAAAAAAGAAAGGGGAAGGGATGGCAGAGACGTAAACACACACATTCTTCAACACAACAGTGACACTAAATAGCAAATATCATTGAAATCTCTAAAAAAAAATGAATCAGGGCTAGGGCTATCAACAGCGTCTTTTTCTAAGCAATTCAATTCTATTATGGCCCTAGGGAAAAAACAAATTTTCAGTTTTTCTCTAGGAGTTTTGTGGCCAAGCACTGAACTCCATTACATTGTCAGTCTATTCTTTGGTACTTATTTTTTTCTTTTTAATAAGTGTCCCGCTTTAAATAAGCCACAGGAGAAACATTAGTGCGAGCCCAAGAAAAAAAGCTTGTCTCGGTGCACATTTCAAAAGGAGGCGATTCGGGTTTCGCCAAGACTGCGAGCAGAAGTTTGAGTCGGTACCCTGACAGAGTCACCTGCAATCTGTATCACAATATGCACGTCTTCTGTCGTCGCTCGAAGAAAGGAAAGCTCAATACCTCTGACCGACGCCGATTTGGGTAAAAAATTCCACGGTTTTTCTAGACTCGTCAAATTTCCCGACAATTTCAGGTTTCTCCTGTTTTCCAGGTTGGAAGACACCTTTAACCCCAAAAACAGCTCAATGCAAGTGCTACCAAAAATCTTTAAGCTTTCGGAGCAAAATCCATCGAGGCACCAGTATCACATGACAGATTTGTCTAGCATTGTACTGCAGCCTCCCTCCACACACACAGTGCAAGGTGGGTTGCCCTTTCTATGTTGAAATGACAACTTTGGTGACCATGGATAGGCACAGGAACAACTCTGTGGCAATGCATAAAAAGGAAATTGTAGGGTGTGTGATATTTAGACAGCATGCCATAGAGCAAAGTGGCCAGTGCGGTACTCCTGTCCAACTAGGGTCTTTAAAATGCATCACGCTGTAGCAATTACACAAGTGCACACCTGCACAACGCTCATCCAGATTGAAACGGGCAGGACTGGGAATTAAACTTGGGATTCCCGAGTTTTGCAGCACGAGCTTTTGCTCCACGTGGCAGATTGCAAGAAGGAAAGAGAGCACATGCATATAGCTTCGACCAGAACTTGAGGGATCCGTGAAACGACATTGGATATTAATGTCGCACACTATACACAAGCATACTGACACAGGAGTGACACAAGTATACTCGCAAACAACACCACTGAGTCTGGAGCTTGCTTGTTGCAATGTAAGGTCAGTCTCTCCCTTGCACAGCCTAGGGTGATGATAGTCTACTTTAGTTCACGAACTGGACACGAGCACTCTGTGATCGCCCGACTAGCGATTGGTTACAACCAACACCTTGATGGATTTTCAAGGTGTGTTGCGAGTACAATTGCTAGCGCAATGGGAGTATCCATACTGTAAGGATGTCCAGAGCACTCCACATGCCCTGTGCATTGTTCATTCCAGTTCATGGCTACGGTGCACATTGCTGGCATATAATCGGCATCAGATCACGGAGTTGCCTTTTCCGATTGCGAGTCGACAGGGTAAACGCTGGTCATTTTTCTCTAGATAAATGTTGGGAATTCATTTTGAGCAGTATTTAGCAGTTTTAGGCAAATCACTGAATGACCCTTAAACATGCAGACACCTACATAAGTAAAAATGTGATGATGATGATGATAACTTCGAGAGCATAGTATGAGAAAGTTGTCCCCAAGTATAATAATTTTACACTGAGCAGGAACGCTTATATAATTGTCATTTCTTGACAGTAGGCTCGCTTGCAATCAATTTAAAAAGCAGTTTCGAAACTGCCTGATGATTGTTGTCGTGCACCATGTGTGAATCCTCTCTGCCAATAATGCACGGCTCCCTGCCAATAAACGCATTGTCAGGCCAATAAAAAGGAATTATAGGGGTTAGGCTTGCCGTATTTGCTCGAGTAACAGCCACACTTCTTATGAACAAGGCCCTTGCGTCAACTTTTCTGCAGAACACACTTACAGCCAACCATTGTGTTCTGCATAAAAAACACAGCAAATAATGCGGTCGAGAACACGTTTCTTTGTAAAAATGCGATCTGCGCAGGTAGCCCTTTTGTGTGAAGAAGCTATCTCTGTCCTGTAAATCCCCGTCATTTTTCTGCCAATCGCAGTGATTCGTTATCCCTGTGCTCTGCAGGAAAGCAGATCCACAGGCTTTATTCATAAACACCATGGCTATTACTCGAGCAAATAGGGTATATGCAAACTTAGTATAATAGCACTCTAATAGAATTAATACACAAAAAAATATCCAGAATCTGAACGGATTCAATGTCAATCCTGACCGAAAATAAAATGCTTATCAAGGTGGCTGCACACGAATCTCGATACCTAAACATCAAATAATCAAACCCTTTAAACGTGCTGATCATGTTTCACTGCATTCATTAGCCCGCACTAACTGCTACAATGATACCAGTGCAGCTGCAAGCGACTCTCGTGGCATGCGGATGACGGATAAAAGGTAATATGTTTGGTCGCCCTAGCAAGTGTTGACTCAATGACAAGCAAAAATCCCGAAAGCCCTAGTGTTTTCACTGAACTCCCCCAAAGGCATTTTTGAACAAAACACTGCACCAACAAAGTACTATAGGTTGCCCTACAATTCAATGTCACCGGTTTCTCTGCACCCCACCATTCAAATACAACTACAATGTCCCTATCTAGTGTCTTTAGACAAGCATAAAACCTTTTCTCTCTCACCCAACTTGTCAATGGAAGAGCAAACAGTCCCATCAAGTAAACCTTGTATGTTAAAAAAAACTATGTTCAGAGTATTCGATGGGGGTTCTTTTTCGGTCAATGGGAAAGAAGAAAGGGGGAGAAAGCGGGGAGTAAAAACTGCAGGCCAGCCTTCAGACCCGGCCGCAGACCGACAATCTTGTGTGGCAACAAACAAGTCGTAGACGAATCCAAAACTCACGTGACTTTGAGCTGAACTTCGTGTTCTCCAGCTCGCCGTAGAGCCAGTGCCTGGAAATGCCACGAATGGTATCCATGAATTCCTAGTCTCAATTTGGCAGGCGCATGCTCGTTCGCAAGCGAGAAGGAAAAAAGAGACAAAAGGCATGACACGCCGCTAATTTGAGGCGTCACAAAGAGCCACCGGCAAAGGTCGGGAAATGCTCAATTTCGGTTTCAGGTAAAACTGAAATTTCCCGAAGCAGCCTCGCGAAGTAATCTACTAGAAGTAGTAAAACATTAGCTTCCGGGAACCAATCGTTGCATGCCCAAAAACATGCAACAGCCTCCTTTCTGCCTCCAACCGAACGTTTCGGGGAAGAACACTGGGCTGGCGGCTTTGAGCAACTTGAGTTAAGCTTTAGTCATGCATGCTCTTATCAGTGGCGTCACTAGGGGGGGGGGGGGGGCAGACGCCCCGGGGGGGCAGTGCTCAGGGGAGTGTCGCGGCGGGTCACGAGCTGGGGGGACGGGAAGTTGTTGCAGCGGACCACCAGAGAGGGAGGAGTGTTGCGGCAGGCAACGTGTGGGGGAGTGGGGGGGGGAGAAGGTCGCAGCGGGCCACCGCTTTGGGTGCCGCCGACCCAAGTGGCAGCACTGGCTCTTAGCAAAACCATGCAGAATGCTGTGGTCACTGACAGGATGAGAACAGCAGGGAGCCTCACTTAAACACCTCCAGCGTATGCTCATTGTCTTCTGCTGTGCACGCACGTGCACTTCCAAAGCTCAAGAGATGCACAAGTGTTATTAAAGATAGCAGGCTGGAGGAGAGACCACTGAAAAACCTCCCCGCCGTCCTCATCCTCACAGTGATCGTAGCGCATAACGCAGGACATGCCACTCCGTTCGTGCCTATTCTTTTATGTGAGCCAGTTTTTGGTCTGAACCTACGGGTACCTGGAGGCTTGCACCGCATACACTTTTAGTCTTCAAGATGGAAGAAGGGGCACTCACTTTTTCCAGCGTGTGACGAGCACCCTGTCGCCGGGAGCCACTGCGATGCGTGGCTCGTCCGTCAGCGGAGTGGACGTGCAGACTCTGCAGCCGTACGTGATGGGGAAGAAGCTTCCCGCGTAGTGATGCACCACCGTGTAGAGTCGTGTGCGCAGCCGCTTGTCCTGTTTCTGCAGGATCTGTTCCACCTGCGCATGAGCGAGGGCCTGGCCTTCGCATTTCTAATACGCCACGAGGACTCCCCGGTCAAGACGTCAACCGTAATGGCACTCTCACGTTTCTCTCAAGCTTTTTTAACTGAATTGCCCGACCAAGCTGGGAAAAGGAGCGGCTTCTAAGCTCCATTAACAGTAGTCAGTCACACATTGGAGCTGCGATCGATAACCGCTCAAGTGCTTGGAAACATTTAGATTCAGACTTGGGGCTTTTGTTTCTGTCTGCACAATCCTTGACCGACTGAGGGGGGGGGGGGGTATCGGCAGTCGAGTGTGTTAGCGCATTGCAGCTTAGAGAACATAAAGCGAAAGCTCGTGTCGCAAAACCCAGAGCTCCCGAGTTCAATCCCCACCTCCGCCCGTTTTGATCTGGATGAGTGCCGTACGTGCGGTCATATATCACTACTGTGTGGTGCATGTTAAAGATTTCAGGTTAGCGGCTGTACTGCGCTGGCAAATTGCTCATCTACAGTAGAAACACCAGTTGCCCTTTGAGGCTGACCAACTTCGGGCTGTAAAAACATAGAGTAATTTCTCGTTATAACGAAGTCAACGGGGCGGTAAGAAAATTTTATATAAGCGGTAATACGATAAAAGCGATAAAGCGAAAAGAAAACTGCCAGCAGCCTTAAAGGTGCACGGGAACACTGCGGAACACTCTGACCATATATTTAATCAAACAAACCTTGGTTACGAACATCTCGCAGCAGCTTTACCAAGTAAAGAAATAATTAAGTGGAGTTTGCCGATAATTTCATCCGGGTTTCAATTTTCCTCAAATTGCTCCGGGCGTCACAAGAACACTTTCACCGCTGCTGCACTCCACATTTTTCCAAACCACCTAAGGATGTTTCGCGTCTCCGCATTTGTCGGCGTTTCCCAAGGTGCCTCTCTGACGTCGCTTTGTGTTTACCTTGGCCCCATGCAAGGTCTACAATCACAGCATCTGTAGCAGGAGCAACAACGGGAACGTCCGCATCGACAAGTGCGAATGAATCAAAGTTATCCTCGGTGGCTTTGCCAACACGTTTTCCCACACTCCTGTAGAGATTGTTGCAGCTATGAAAATCATGCCCAGGCTCGACAAGCATGCTCGCAAGAGAAAATTTGACGTGCGCGAAGCAGTTGGCGATCTTTCATCTTAGGGTCGCGGGCTTTCTTTCTCCTACATGAGACACTTCTCGAACCCCCCCAATGTGCCTTGCTTCTTCTGCAAAATGGGAGACAGTGTCGAACAGCCGATGCCAGACTGTCGAATTCTTTGGCGATTTCAGACTTGCGCCAGCCACTTTTCTCAACCTCGCAGGTCCAAGTGACTTTTGGTAAACACTCCCAATCTCCCATACAATGCACGTGTGCATGTATTATGCTGCAGGTGCGCCTGTGCAGGCTCGCACGCCAGGGTCTCCCAAAGGGATGATCTCCTCCGGGCTCTATCGCTCCCTTGACCCGATTCCGACAGCGGTTGGGCAGCGTCATCCGCGGGTGCCGTAAGTAGCCTCGTAATGTTTACGCTGCTCCCTGCCCGCGTCGGCGCATCGGCATCGGAAGTGGCGCTTTACCAGCTCTGCGCCCTCTGCCCTTCGTCACCTGTTTACTCCGTTTTCATAGTTTGCCATTTGCCTCGGTGGAGAAGGGAGAGGGAAGGTAAGGGCCTCCGTGCGCCTCCATGTAGGCTTGCATACTTTCGGCACCCACCCTTCGTAATAAGCATGGTCGGCCGCCGATGCACTTAAAATAATCAAGTTAAAAATGTGTGCATTTCGGTCGGGACCACGTTGAATTTCGATAAAAGCGATAGTTTGAAAAAAGCAATTTTGTTATAACGAGGGATTACTGTACATGCAACATACAATTATTATCACACCATGCGCAGAGGAGTCGGAACTGTATGGAAAATGAAGGGGGGGACGTAGTGATTTTCCCCCGTATTGTTTGCATTTAATCTCTTAAATATTTGTTGTTGCGATCATTCCTTTTGCCCCCTCTGTTTCGACGCTACTGAGCGTGTGAAACGGCGAGCATGTGCGAGCCATGTGGCACAGGACATAGGCTTGCCACCATAGTTAGCCTGTGTATTACCGTTAGCAATAATTGACCTCACGTCACCTGAACGTTCAATAAGCAGGAGCAGGAAATCAAGTTCTTGGCTGTTCCCTGCAATAATATGAGCCGGCTTGCTGGCAAGTGTGTATTTATTTCCCACACCCCGTATGCGGAGACGCAAAAAGAAAAAAGGTAACCGCCAATTGCCTAGCACTCTGTGCATTTAAGAACTGCGTGCAGGTCTTTGGAACCGCATGTCAAAAAAATAATGCAATAATGGTTAACATGATCGAGCTCCTTCAGAGGAGGGATACTCACGGTAAGAGTGTACTGATTGCAGCCTGGCACGACGGGCCACGTGACGCCGTCGCCCAGTGGATACACAAAGACCTGTTTGAGATTCTCGGCCACGCCCAGGTTGTAGGGGTACACAAACACCTCATCGTCATCTCTCTCCCTCATCTGGGCCTTTGACACGATCCAGTTCTCAATCGTCGTCTCGTTTCTCACGATGATCTTCATCTGCGGCGGAGTAACAAGTTTTCCGTAAGGACGTGCGCCCTACGCAAGGGCAGTGCTGCAGCCGTAGCCAACTGTGTCTCGCAACACCGTTGAAGTGGCGGAGGTGCTGTTTTTCCTCCCAAATCGATTGTTGCACGAATTAGTAACTGCACTCGCTCCACCAACCTAAAGAAGAAATTGAGTAAGCCTGCAACTTGTGGGGTGCCGAGGAGAAAATCATATTCATCCGAAAGGCAGGGGCAGTGATGTGATTAGCATAGGCCATTTCGGAGCAACTTTCGGAGCAGCCAAAACAGTGTTTTGGAGCAGCAAAAGTGGCTTTTGGAACAGCCAAGACAGTGTTTCGGAGCAGCAAAAGTGGCTTTTGGAGCAGATATTCTTAGAAAAATAAAACTATTTGTTTGAAGTGCTATACAAGTGAAGGACACTTTGTGTTGTGTGGTGTTCTGATGTGACATGTTGTGACACAACTTGCTTCTTGTGTTTGTAGTGCTGAGACATCCCACAAGTGTACAGTGAGGCATTGCCGAACAATTCCCAAAAACAGCTTGCCACTGTTTTACTGGTTCCCGACGTGCCAGATTTTTTTCACAAGTAAGCAAATGTAAAACAATGAATTGCAAGCATCCCGGCCGGTGCCTCTGTCGTGCAATCATGCTTGCATGCACATGAGGGCAACTTCGGCAGGCTTGCAGCCGCGCGTGCTTTGTCGCGCGAGCGGAAAAAACGGCTGTTCGATCGAAACCGAAACCACACCACAAATTGTATGCAAAAGGTGACTGTCGAGCATACAACAAAAAACAGTTGAGCCGCGTATGCTTGCCAGGCCGGCAAACAAGATACAAGCTAAACACACACACACACACAAAAAAAAGAACTTGAGAACATTGATGCAATTATTGCGAGCCAGGGTCAAAAAGTTTTTGGAGTGATTTGTGCAAAGACTGAACTCGAGACAAACAAGCGCGCTGTGCGGGTTCAGTGCGCAGTCATTGCTTTCTTTGCTTTAGCTCACTTCTCTTCACTAACTTTCTTTTGCGGCAGATTTTTGTACCGGAATCACTCTCGAAACAAAGCCCACCGAGAGAAATCTAGGTAATCAATGCTTCCACACAGCAGTCTTTGAGTTAAAGAGGGATTTTTGTAGTAACGTATGATTTATACAAGAACAGGAACGTTGAAGAACATGCAAGTACTTAGTTTATTTTCACAATGCGCCATATCTGCAGCGACGTGGGGACGGCTACACCCGACGTCGCGCGACCATGGTGAATCGAAGGCAGGGACCAAATATTGTTTTCCCACGGCCATTGCTTTCAAGAGCGAGTGCTTCAGCTCACAAAGTAACTCCCACCGCGTAAAAACGTTTTGTTTCACACATGACGGCATGGCTGGTACCCGTCACGCTAGCGTCGGAGCGTTTGCACACACCCGCGTCTATTGTTGAAAATATTTAAAAAAAAAAGACACAAGACGAGACCCACCAGACGACGAGAGCGCGAAACGCGAGATGGCGGGAAAACCATGCAAGACCGGATGGACAATTGATGCAGGGTACTTTGTGTCAAGCGGCCACTCGCGCCACTTAACACACGCATGCTCAATTACGGTACTCGGTTTAGTATCGGTTCTGAAAGGCGACCGAAATGGGTTTTTTTGGTGCAGGCTTGGAACGTATTACCATATTTTGGCAAAATGTAGCAGGATATAGCAGGGTTAGCGACTTGGCGCAATTGGCGCAGCAATCGCATCACTGCAGGGGACAAGACGGATATAGCCCTCAATATCTCTCAATATTGCGATAAACCGGTTAAAATGTAATTTAAAATGACAGAATAGAGAGGCAGCTCCGGCAAAGGCACGCCACTCTGCCAGTTCATAACATTGTATCAAGGGGTTTTCAGTTGCTCACAATTTATTTACATTTTGAGAGAAAATTCGAACTGTGAAAATGGAACGTCGGCAGTGTCTGCCGATAGCGTTCGAAAGTCTTGAGCTCACTCGATGGAATGCACTCTCTTTCTCGAACACGCACTCACTGCGTCTTCATAACGGCGCAATGGAATGCCTCCCTATCACAAGCGCACGAGCGCTGCATCTCCATCGCTGTCGTCATGGCTCTTGTCGCTACACTATTGCCGCACAATGTACCAAACACAATTTAGCTGCCCATCTGCTTTCATAGCAAACACCGTGTCCCGGCGAATGCAATACATTGAAAGTAGATTCAGCAGGTGGTACCTAGTCATCCCGATTTGAAAGCGCACAAAAGACGAGGACAGAGTAACAAGCACGTACGACAGAGAAGCGCTTGTTTGTCGTACGTGTTTCTTACTCTGTCGTCTTCTGTGCGCTTTCAAATCGGGATGAGTAACTACCAACCAGCCCAATTTTCCAACCTTCTAAAGTGGTACCTAGTTTCCACAAAAATAATATATGTACACTTCGTATAATTTTAAAGCCAAGAGCTGCTGGAGTTTGCCGAGACAGCTCTCTACCGGACAGAAATATCCCGATGCTTGAGCAGCGCCACCGTTGCAAACAAATGGGACTCAGCTTCACATGCCACCCCAGGTACAGTCTACGGGAAGTCCCTCAACCAAGGATATTTAATAGTTCCACAACTAAGTATATCTACAGTCATTGACAGGATGAGAACTGCAGGTAGCGGTTTCAGTTGTCCCGCCTCCAGCAAAAGCTTCTACCTTCGATGATGCTTCGGCGTCTCGTGACCCTCGAGCGTGCATGTGCAGCCGAAGCATAGCGAAAGGCAACGAGCGCGTGCTGGAAGCCCGGTGTTTGAAAGAGACGCACTGCTGTTGTCACCTTGTCAGTGCCTATAATAGTAACGTTGGTTGCGACAACCGATCGACGGAGCTTACCTGTATGAAAAGAAGACTACCCAGAGCAACGACCACACCGATTGAAAGCCCCAGGCTGAGCACAGTGGCCACAAAGGGAAAGAAGCCCAGGTAGACCAGGTCCTCGTCGTGGCCCTGCTGCATGTAGTACTTCTGCGAGGGAAGGTGTACGAAGAACTTCAATGCCAATCAAGTTCGGCTGGACGGGCGGAGCCATCTCATGCAAATTTTTCGTAACTCTGAGGTGGTTCGTGGCTGCAATCATGGGACCCAATTTCGAGCTCAAACATCTGAACGCCTTGCTGAACTATGTCAATTGTTTGGTGACATGCGACGACCCATCGTTGCCCTTTTTAGCTACCAGCAGCACTGACCAGCAGCTAACCAATCAAGGTACCCCCTGTTCACTTCCCTAGGGCATGTGGGGACTGTTGGTCACCCTTCCCTGATGGCCGGTACAACGGCCGTGGTTCAGAACGCTTTGCCGGGAGCTCCAACCTGTTCGTGAAGCATAGCAGAGCCGCCTGGCTTGAGCGGCTCTCCTCTTCACTTTCTCCTGGGCGGACCTTTTTCCGTCCCCCCGCTCATCTGGGAAGCCAGTGGTTTTGGGTGGGGACAACGCCCGCATAGGAGGAAGTCGACATGCATTCCCTGCTTTGGGAACAGAGCGACTTCTCCCACAGACCTGATGGAAATTGGACGTGTCGCGAAGGTCTTTCTTTGCTTGCTCTGGACTGCACTCTCGGGATGGTGACAACAGGGTGAGTCTTTCAGCTTACCTTGTCGGCACAGAGGTCTTTGGTGTTTCCCTGTAAACACCGTTGGACCCGGTCCTATTGTGGTACATACTCCTCCTTTTTAGGGAAGAAATCAGTTGTGTGGCTGACGTTCAGACCCGCCCATAGGGGTGTTCTTGAGGGAAAGCTGCAGGGTGTGGGAGTAGGCTTGGCGTCTCCCAATTTGAGACTGCCGCTCAACTTTTGGCTTACTGCTACCCGTGATCATCCCACATATTCTGGTGCCCAACGGGGGGCACCAGTTTATGCAAGATTTTTAGCTAGTAACAGAGGTACCGATAGAGTAACCAAAGGGTTATCTCAACAGTGGCGGCGATCTCAAAGGAGACGTCAAACCTAGTAGCCCCGGTTCACACATTTCCGCAACAATATAAACAACATTTAGGGCTACACTACCGCTGGTTGGTACGAGAGATACCTCTGTCGGTGCCAATGATCGACTACCTTGTCTCACTCTCTCGAATATAGCGAAAGAGAAGACACACATACCAAAGTAAGGACAGAGTCCAAAAGCATTTATTAAAACACTCTTTTAAAAGAACTGCTATCTCCCCATCCAAAATGTTCCCCGTACCGGCAAGGTAAGAGAAGGTCCTTACCTCCCACATGCAGTGCTCCGGAGAGCCAGAGGGCGGCAAAGCATCAGAAAGGTCGCTGATACACGACCTATCTCTTTTGCGATCACCGAACGAGTCCCGTTCCCGAAAGTGGGAAAAGACGAGGTAAAAGCTCCTCGCCTGTCGGTTGTGAGCCGCATCCGAGCAGGAAAGAACGGAAGGTGGTCCCTCCACGAGAGTGTGAGGGGAAGGCCCTCCAACACAGGGGACCCTCCGCTTCACGAACAGGTAAGAGCTCACGGCGGAGGAGGCCAAGCCATCGGAGAAGCGGGACCACAGGAATGCCCATTAACAGGGGTACCAAGGAGTAATCAGAGTTATCTCAACAGGGACGGCAATCTCGAAGGAGACGTCAAACCTAGTAGCACAGTTCCCACATCTCCGCGGCAATGTATACGATGGTTTAGGCCCGTTCACACATGTGCAACCGAGTACGACTGAGAGAGACAAGACCGGTTTTTCAGCCTCTTGCGACAGCATAGGACCTGCTCCGCAGCAGCACATCTGGTTGTATGCTGTCGCAAGAGGCTTAAAAACCGGTCTTGTCTCACTTAGTCGTACTCAGTTGCATGTGTTTGAACGGGCCTTTAGGACCACATTACTGCGGGTCGGTTCAACAAATGCCTCCATCGATGCTAATGATTGGGTGGTCCCCCCCCCCCCCTTGGGAGAGAGTGAGGGGAGGGGCAGGGGACCCTCCGCTTGACGAACAAGTCTGAGCCCACGGCGAAGAAGGCAGAGCATTCCAATCTGCGGCCGTTATCACTGCCATCAGGGAAGGGAGACCACAGGAATCTCCACAGGCTATAAGGTAATGTATTAGCAACCCTTAATGTACTCCTCTGATCCACACAAAGAAAAATATGGGAGCCTAGAATCGGTGGACAAAGCCTCTAGAAGCCAGCATGCCAGAAGCCATCATACCTCTGCCATGCTGGCTTTAGAGACTTTGTGGAAAGAGTTGTCACACACGCCTTCGTGCTGTCTGTGGGCTAACCATTGCCCAGAGGCTGATGCAAGCAAACACAGCTTGTGCTGCTTTACGAGTTGGGTGATGCTTATGCGTTTGTTTCCATATGGATCAATAGTGCAGAACACGGAATGACACTGGCATTTGCCTGTACTATGAAATGAGCTTACAGTTTATGAAGGAACGTATATAAACTGCATGGCAAAAGTAAACAATGAAGACGCCAGTGTGCCCTAACCATGTGTTTAACTGTTTCAGGTATGTTGCTTGCAAGCATGTGATTCTAAATATTGTAAGACATTAAGAATTAGTATTCATTGCTTAATATTCTTCTTGCACACTAAATTTATCTAATTAATGGGGAGACTAAAAAAAAGGATTTTATTATTTTCTATTCTTTGTTGAAGTGTTCACTGTTGTATGGCTTACAAACACGGCTTTAATTACAAACCTCCTATTGTGCCACACATTGATCGCATAATCTTCTCAAAGACCGAGATGTCACACAGTGAAAAATGCAGAACCTACCCGATTGTATGCTTTGGACAAGCCAATAATCAAGAGCCCAGAAGAGTGGATGCTGCCGCAGACAGCAAACAGAAGAAACAGTGTGAAGTTTGCGTGGTTTCTGTGTCCACAGCACGTGTTGATCCAAGGGCAGTGATGATCCATCTTGAGGACACACCTGTGTTAAACAGGCCACAAAGATGAAGCACAACACTCAACAAAAGCTCAGAGTAATGTGCCCATGGCCATCGCATTGACTGCAGTGGTATACATGAATAAAACTGAATATACGCGAAATTTGTACGTCACACTGACACATTACTGGTGGCACTTGTGAGATATGCATGGTTACTGGTAACGTTATAATGACCCTATGTAGCTTGAGGGTAAAAAAATGGTATCAGTTTCAGCTGTCATGACAGGACCGAGAACCAAGTTTATGATGCGCACTTCGTACATGCAGTACACTGCTACAGAATAAAAGGCAAGCTCACACTGCACCCAGGAACTGTACAATGCCTCAAATTACTACAGGACTCAGAGTCAAGGTCTAAACTTAGGTTTCTAACGGTAAAATGTACCCAAGCTGCTATGGCGCTCGCCGAGTGGATCGCTCGCAGAAGCTTGGGTGTCTGTTCATGCTCAAACAGTATGTAGGCATCTCATAGAGTGGCAATTTCGCCACATAAATTTGCATTTACAAGAAAATAATGAGCACAAAGGATGGGTGAGTCGTGCGCGTACGGAGATATGTGCAAACGATATATTTACCTCTCGCATCTCCGGCAGTGATGTGAGCGAGGAGTCTTAAATCCATCACAGTTGGCGCAGTACTGCAGAAACTGTTCGTCTTCCGGCAATTCCTGGGTGCGATACAACAGCGAGCGCGGTCCGTCAAACCACCGAAACAAATAAGCCGAGGGAAGGCAGTCAACGGCTGCGATGTATGTACTGCCTTCGGAAACAGAAGCACGGCGGCGAAACGAGCTTACCGGTCTCCACCGCAGGGGCACGAACCCCGGTCCCATAGCAACAGCCATGAAGAAGTTGTACAACAGCGTGCCGACCCAGCCGATATAAATCGCGTGGTTGACGGTGCCTTCGAGCGAGTTGTAAGGCGACAGCCACATCGACGTCACATAGAGACAGGTGAGGAAGATGAACTTGACAATGAGCAGAGCTACCAGCGGACCCCAGTGCCACAGGCGATGGAAGAACTGTGCTAGGATATCCAACACGCCGGTCTGCTGATCCATTTATTCGGCTCGTTGGGTCGCTGGGTGGTCGCCGAGCTGCCGTGACGGAATTCGGGGACGCTGCATGCAGCCGGTCTTCGGGACGTCGATCGAGCCCTGCCCACTGTGGCTACAGCGCGAGGAGGGGGTGTTCGAAAGGGAACGACGGTCTGGCGCGCTGCATAATTTAATTTTACGTTTGATGCATCGAAAGGGCAGAGATTTACCTCGCACCGGCGATCAGCCAGAGTCGCGAACGGTTCGAGCACGGACGATGTTGCTGAACTCCGAGCTCGCCGTAAAAGAAAAAATAAACAAAACAAAAAGCGATCGCAGTGACATCTAACGTGCGATGCATATACGGCACTGGTGCGATGCCAGAGCCGTATATGTAGAGAGTTTGGCCATTTGTTGGGAAGAATAGGAGACAAATGAAGCGGCGCCATTGGCCGAAAGCGGGTTGGCCGTGTTCCAGGGCGTCTTCAGAAATTCGAATGTGACCAACCAGAAGCCGGAAATAATACCCTGGCGGTGGTCGCAAGAAACAAACCTGATAACTGCATTGGAGTAACTCTCAATGGCTGAAAATATGGTACACGTGATGTTTCAATCACACTCATCTGAAATGATGGTGGAAGCGGTGGAAGAGTGCGACTAGCGGAAAGATCGACATAATCCTTACGCCAAACGCCGAGCGCCGAGAATCTGCCGTCAGAGCGGTCACACTCTGTCCGCGCAAAACAGAGTTGAGCGGCGCATTCGTTTCTTACATCTTTCTGCATGATCATGATGAAACAACACATGCACCCTATTTTCAACCACAAAGAGTTACTATACTTCACTCTTACGCACTTATTAAAACCATATACGAACATAGACCTTCGATGATCGATCGGCTCAGAATTGTTTCTCGCTACCACCGCTAGGGGATTCTTTTCGGCTTCTGGTTGGTCAAGAGAGCACGCCAAGCCGCCAAGCCCTCTTTCCGAGTCTGGTGCACGCCCTGGCTCTGCCCGCGCCTCCCATTGACCAAACTCTCTACATATACGGCTCTGTGCGATGCTGCCTCTATCTATCCATACGTCCATACTAAGTTCTATCGGTTCTATCCACATATCGGTTCTATCCCGCCACTGCTTCTATGAATGCGATACCGCGATTACATGTGCGATACAGCACGGCTCTGCGATACAGCAGAGCCGTATATGTCTATGCCTCTATTATTGTGTTTTCAGGGTTTCATCAGTTTCCTGCAGTTTCCTATCCTCTGTAGCCCGCTGCCCGCTGCGCTGTAGTCTTCCTGAAAGCTTGTAAAACTAACGATGGATGGACGGATGATGGATGAATATTGACTGTACAGAATAATTCGTACGATTGCGGACTCCACGTGCTCTATAATCTTCAGCAAGTAAGTTAGCTGCCCATTCAACGTTTGCAACCATTGTAACGTCCTTTGTTGTTGCCTCTGCCGCATCCGCTACACCCATGCTTCCTTTCATCCGCCGTCTCAAAAGCACCGGTTTTCTTATTATTGTATCTCAGTTCTGAACAATAATGGGTTTTGTATCTTACAGGTGCTAGTACAACAACTGCCACTTCCACGTCAACTTGCAATGGCATCTAAAGGAGGGAAGGTCCTGAGCTACCACGATGTTCTGTTAAGGGAATCGGACGTAGCGTTTCTGGGAGGACCTCACTGGATTAACGACAACCTCATCGGCTTCTGGATGCAGTATCTAGAAAAAGAAGTCTACAAAGGGCAACGTAACCAAGTAGAATTCGTCACCCCTGACGTGGTGCAGTTCATCAAGCTCGGCGCGCTTCAGGACGTCTCGGAGCAGCTGAAGTCGCTGGAACTTAAATGCCGATCGTTGATCCTATTGCCTGTGAACGACTGCACAGAATTTGAGTTGCCTGGTGGCTGCCATTGGAGTCTTCTTGTGTATGAGGCGAAAAAGAAGATATTCGAGCACTACGATTCCTGCAAAGGTTCAAATTCTGTGCATGCCAGACGCATCGCAGAAGCTCTGAAGTCGTTACTTTGCCTGGAGTCGGCGCAAGTCACAGAGGTTAGCTGCACGCAGCAGAATAATTCGTACGATTGCGGACTCCACGTGCTCTATAATCTTCAGCAAGTGTGTGCTCAACGTCTTCATCGTGGAGAGTTCACGACTGACTTTTGTGCCCTTTCGGACAGAATGGAACACAACAGGAATGCGTTACTGCGACTTATTGCGTACCTTGCTGAACAAAACTGATCTATTTTTATTAAAAACGTTTGTGTTTGTTGAGTGGTAGTTTCACAACAGCTGAACCCCAGTGGGCTTGACGGGTTTTACCAGTTTGACAAATGTCACACTTTGGACCTAAGGTACGAGTCTGAGCTTTTTTTTTTTATATTTTCTTTATAAAAGTTTGTAACAACAACCTCCTTCTGTAACAGAGCAGTCGCTCTCGAAGAAGCTTTGTAACCACTATCCTTTTATTGAACGCTCAAAAAGTTTCACTGCCATACGTCGTCTGCTGCTGGACTACGAAACTGAAATAAATCGAGAAACCACGGGCACGAACAACCATTGCAACCATCTTGCGACAAAAAAAAAAAAAAAATCAACTGTTTGGATTGTTGCAGAGGCTGGGCAGCAGCGTGTTGAATACATGTTTTCTGCTCGTTCGTCGTCATTCGCCGAAGAAGTGTTAAAACCTTCTGTAAACTATGAAAATTACCATTGAGAACACGTGCCATTGTAATCGTAATTGTAATCTTATTGGCTCAGGAGAGCCGTGGCACCGCGGAAAGGCGAGAGCCCGTACCATGGAGGCCCGCGGTGCCACGTCTAGTGATGATGATTATGAGATGATATATACAAGGGGGAGGACGACGCAGTCTTCTCAACATCGCAAGCACCGTTGCTTGAAGGTTCGGGGTTTGCCAAGACACTTCTACCAGCTGTAATAAGTGCCTGGGCAAAGGGTGCTGTTCGGAGGCTTCACCGTGCGGTTGGGAAATCCTTGGCGGTTTGATGGTGTTCAGGACGACGTGCTCTCCTGATCCGCCGCACGAGTCTTGGAGGTTCGGCGGCGGTTCAGGCCAGTAGGCAAGTGAGCCAAGGTGACCTTCGGTAGGTTTACCAAAGCGCAGCACAGCAGGAAAAAGACGCACTCTTCAAACGCGTCTCGTCGGGCTCGCGGTGTGATCAAAGCTTCCTTGGCACCTTGGTTTAAAACAGCACATCAAGACAAGGAGAAACGAAAGACTAGACAGACGACAGTGCTGAATATCAACTGAAGGTTTATTTCCACTGCGGGCAACAGCCAAATAAACAGAGTGCGAAAGAAAAGGCAAAAATACATGTAGTCTCAGCACCTTATTAGTTATATTTAGGGTTCGGAGTTTTCGGTTTAAACCGATAAAAGTACGCTGAATCCCTTTCGGAAATTCGGTTTTAACCGAGAAAGGTCAGTTTTTAGGTTGGGCGTTTTCGGTGTAATCCGATAAAAGTATGCCGAATTAATTCTCTAAATTTCTGTTTTAGCCGAAAATGGCCAGTTTTTTATGGCCGCGTCGAGATGGGGGGGGCAGGGGGGGGCGTTGCAAGGTTGGACATTGTGTGACCTTTTCATGATTGCCCTCTTCCAAGGCTCAACATGCAACAAAAGAGGTCTTGGGTTGTCCTTTGCGGGACATCTCTGTCCTTCCTGGTCCTAAAAAGAAAAAAGTTTAAGTGCGGGCTACTATAAGGTTTTTCGCTTCATGCAAGGTCTGCTGCCAGAGTTTCGTAGAGTACACGAAATATGTCGTGCTTCAAAACGTCGCATCGCGTTTGTTTTGGTAGCCACATTTGGTTTACTGGCCGATTTGGGCTCGGGCAGCGCTTCATCTCCCCAGCCTGCCAGTGCCCAGTGTTAACGTTGAAAAGGCATTCTCGAAGCCCAGGGTCATTAACAGGAATGAATGAGCGTGGGTCAGCGAGGAGAACCTGGGAAAATCCCATAATCCTGATGTACAGAAGGTGAAGTTCCGTGTTTTTGGGCACTGACAATTGTTTGTACTTTTCCTTGTTTTTTCTTGTTTCTTTTTTTACAGTTGCACAGATTTGCCAAATAATATGTTGATGCTGTTTTGTTTTTCAATGTATTTGTGCCGTTGTTTTTAGAGTGATCACAAGTATCAGAGCTACAAGGATCATCTGATCCGGTGTCCGATGGGGTTTCTTTAATATTCACCGAAAAACGTTTGTAGACATAAATATACACCGAAAAAACCGAAAACTGAATTTTAAAATAAACACCGAAAAAAGTATGCCGGATTTTTAAAAAATAAAAACCGAAAATTTAATCTTTTTGATTTAATTTAGGCCTCTCGGCTAGGTTCTCGGCCACCCGAGAATGCACTAGGAAGCGCATTCTCGGGTGGGGGATAGAGAAATGTTCTGTGCTAGGAAGTTGTGTAGGATGATAATTGGGGTTTAATGGTGTAACAAAAGCTTGGATCATATTGTGCCAATGAAGTTGTGTAAGCAACTTCATTGGCACACCATTCAACGTGACCCGGAGCGGGTCACGTTAATGGTGTGACGTCGCCGTGTCGTCTGCTGCATGATGCCGCTCAGGCAATTTTTTAAAAAAACTCACGTCCTTGCGGGGCACAAAACTTAGCGCAAATTATTCTAAAATGTTCCATTATTATGTCAAAAACGATTGCGATTCCGTACATCCCCACAATACTGAAGAAACAACGATTTTCTCACGTTCTCCATGCATTTCTGACCGCAGTTGGAACCTCCGGGCGTTCGCCGCTAGTCGCCGAGAGGGCAAGCCTATGGGGCTATCCGCCCGAGCACAGCGGACGCTAGGAGCCATCCCAGCCAATGCGGCGTTGAGGGAGTGTCATGCGACCTTGAGCTCCCTGTGTCGCCCCGCCCCACCGGCAGGTCACGCGACTTTCTCCCGGCGCTAGATCGGCTGGGATGGCTCGTGGCGTCCACTGCGCTCGGACTGAAGGTGAAACGGAGCTTGCTTCCGCTTATAGCATCTTCGATCAACTCGCACCGAAATCGCCCTGAAACCAGCACAGTGCACAGCGCTCCTCAGTCGTGCAGCCAGTGCAGCACGATGTCGGTGCAACATCGAGGACAAACTGCGCCGCGCCGGTGCACCGCGGCGAGCTCCACCTTGCGTCACTTCGCGTTTTGTTCGTTTATTTTGCGTAGGTCAGCGCACGGTGTCCGTCTGCTGTCAATTTCTTCTATTTTTTTACTCGCGGATTTGACGGTCCCACAGAAATAAACATCGTGGACGTGATTGTCGATGGGGTCACGAAGCGGGTGACAATTCCACATGTATATGTTGGCCATCATTATTAGGTCAAGAAAACGAAACACCAGATAATAGCCGTACCTCGCTGTCATCAAAACGCCTCGCGCCGCTTTCCACGAAGTTCGTGCTTTTCGGGCGCTCCTTGCCACCGCAGCACTCGCCAGTAATCGCGGCGATGGTGAGAAGCTCGTCGTCTCGCCGTCAGAAGACCCGAGGAAATCATCTAGTGCAGCTGCAAGGCGTGTTCGTTTTTGCAAGATCGCCATCTCGATAGTCTGCGCGTCTGCTACTCCCGCCATCTTCTCGATTCCCGCTCCTGGCCGCAATGCCTGATGGGACTGCCCCCCGGCGCACCGCCGATTTTCTTGGTGCACGTTGGGGCAACGAAAAGCCGCACCGGGAGGGTGCGCTTCGTTGATCGAATTGATCGAGGACGTACGGTGCGCACCGGTGCACTTGATCGAAGATGAAGGGGCGCACCTCAGTGCCCCGGTGCGCACCGGTGCGGATGATCGAGGATGCTATTAGCCTTCGCAACGCAGCCAACGCTCCAAAAGGTCCAAAAGAGTCATATTCTGAATTCACACAATATTTGTTAAATTTTGTTTAGAGGTCTTTGTGTTTTAATGGTTACGCATATATTTTGCGAAACTTATATTTTCAAAAACAACTAAACAAAAAAACGTACGTTTCCAAACCAAAATTGCCTTACATTTTTCTCACTAGATTGCGGTAGTTGCCCCCTAATACCAATAAACACAATAGGTAGTGAAAGTCTCAGTGAGTACAATGCTCTAGGATCCGAGCATATATATACATATTATTCATCTAGTCATACTAGTAGTCAAAATTTTTGTGAAAACATTTCAGACGAGCGGGCGCTTGGTTCGAAAAGTGGCGGTTGCTGTCGAGTGGTACGCGTGTTAGCTCTACCCTCGTATTTTTAATAACTTTAGCCTTATAATTTTCACAGGAACACAGCAGCGTGAGTAGCTTATCTATCTCGAGCTCTCTCTCTCGCGTATTTTTGCCGTGTTGTAGTAAGTTGTAGCCTGCTAGCAGCAACGACGCGTGGCGCCGGAATTCAAGCGTCTATTTTTGAATGAACGACGGTTTGCCGAATTTGATTTCACTCGGGTAATATGCTTGCGCGCTCTTAGAAGCGCGATTCCAAAGGTGGTGCCTAAAATACGTTTCCCGGTCGCCCTAGTGTTCCCTCTGTGCAGGCACGTTTTGTGGCTTTCAAAAATTTTGCATTGTCTGCTAACGCGCATCTTTCCCCCCCCCTTTTTTTTTTTCGTGCGTCTTTTTTTTTTTCTTTTCATTTTGTATGCTGTATTTTGCAACGTTTTGGAATTTTAGCGAGGCTTCTCGAACTTAGGAAGTCGCGTTGTCTCTCTGTTTTCCGATATCGGGCTTCTTCGCCCTTAGAAGCAGGGGCGGATCCAGAACACCGTTTTGGGGAGCGGAGGGCGGAAAATTTTGTAAGGACACTATTTTCCCATTGTTTCGTGTGCACCGAGGGGGGGGGGGGGGGGGGGGGAGAGGAGAGGGAGGGGGAGGGGGGGTCCACCCATGTCAAATTGCTCTCCGAGAAGGGGGGTGGGGGTCGACTTTGTTCGGGAGGGGGGGGGGGAACCGCCCCCGTCGTGCCCCCCCCCCCCCCCCCAATCCCCTTGGGTGCTCCCCTGGTTAGAAGAGCAACGAGCTTCGCGAATTTTGGGGAGATGTCTTGTGTACGCTCGCCCTCATCCAGGCATTTTCTTTTTTTTTTTTTGGTTATCCTATGCATCTTTTGTTCTTCTTTAAACTTCAACTGCTTTATTTTATTTTTTCGTGGTTTGTTTTCAGCGTCGCAATGGGAATGGACGACTACACAAAAGTGGAAAAAATCGGCGAAGGTCTGTTCATTCTTAATTTTTGTCGTGCGCGAGGCTTTCCTTTTTTCTTTCTTCTTTTGTTTTTATTTAGGTTTACTGTTGCAGGTACGTATGGCGTCGTTTACAAGGGCAAGAACAAGAAGAGTGGACAGATCGTGGCCCTCAAGAAGATTCGGCTCGAGAACGAGGACGACGGTGTTCCGTCCACCGCCATCCGCGAGATCGCACTTCTCAGGGAGCTCAAACACCAAAATATTGTCAGGTAACTGACCTTAGTCGATTTTCCTGTGTGAAGATTTTGCATTCGCCCCTAACCGTTTCTAGTTTTTCGAAATTTCTGACCCTTGCCTGCGTAATTGTCACCTGCGTAATTGTTGTCACCTGCGTAATTGTCTTCAAAACCAGATTTGTTTCTTTCAAAACCAAATTAATAATCGCAAAAAAAAAAAAAATTGTTTTTTTTTAATGCGAAAGCATTAACATTTCTTTGGAGCGAGCCTACGTCATCAGCTTTGAAGCGGCGCCAAACAGCACCTTGAATCCTTCCTCCAAGTGAAGCCAGCTCCCAGCTATGAAACCATGCGAATAGCCTAGCCAAACAGCACCTAGTTTTCCCGATCCCAAAGGAGCGGAGTAAAGCTGATGGGCTTCAGTTACATTGGCTTGCGTGTGTCGACAAGCCTCCCATTGGCCGCTGCTTGTCAGTTTCAACGACTGCCATGGCACTGTGTGCCCGTGAGGCTGCGGCTCCACCGCTCCACGCCCAAGGTCAGCGCGCGCGCTCGACTGTCGATGCAAGCACGTCGCAGACGAAAGAAGGGAGCGGAAGAGTGTGTGCATGCTTTCGCATTCACAACTCGTAAGAAGTGCTTAGGTGTACCTCGAGCCTTTTTGCGAACGGTTTGGAGATGTCTTTATACTGATGAGCTAGGCTTGTCCAAAATGTTTAAGGGGTTAATAATGAACTGGGAATTACGTGTTTTCTGCCTTGTTAGTCTACGAATTAAAAACTTATCTTGAGCTGCGTTTCCCTAACCTTTTTGCAAATTCGGGCTCCCTACTGCACTCGGGGGTCATTCTGCACATCAACTCAAGACACAGAGTTGTACACTTGTATCTGCATGGAGTACACCTGCTTTTGCATGCAAAGTAGGCAGACTCAGTCTGCTCAGTACTGGTGCTTTCATTTTTCTCGGACTCCACTGTGTTTGATGCTTCATTGACGATTGCCGCAACACCGACCGGGCAATCTCCACAGATATCACCTCAAACTATGGTCCACGGATCGCAGTTTGAGAAATTCTAGTCTAGAAGGCTGTTCTTTTTTTATTCCCCTTTCTTCAGTCTCCATAGATGTGTGGTACTGCTGTTTCAGTTTGTTACTTTGGCACTCCATTTGTGACAACAAGTGCCCTATTTCTCGGACATTCACGGCTCTGGCCGTTATCTTTCCAAGCCAACGCGAAAACTGACCGCTGCTTTGATAGCTTGCAGGATGTCCTCATGCAAGAGAGCAAGCTTTACCTGGTGTTCGAGTTCCTCTCCATGGACCTGAAGAAGTTCCTGGATACCATTCCCAAGGGCCAGAATGTAGAAAAGAAGTTGCTGAAGGTATTACTCTCCCCCCACTTGCTTTGAGAAGCAATGGGACTCTTCTCTTTGGGGCTAAGGATGTCAGTTATTTTTGTTGGGTCATTTCGGCTGGTATAATGCCCAGAAAGGCAGTGCTATAGATTTCACTTGTGACATTCTTTACTCCTCATAATAACTATATTTTGAGGTGTTGTTGATGCAGAGCTGTTTACTATAGTTTGTTGCAACTCAAGAAGGTAGGTGTTACGATGGGACTTTGTCGTCTTCATTTTTGCAATAGCCAAGACGCGTGGCCTCAGCACGGGCCACGCCTCACACACTGTTCCTGGTTGAGCTAGCGACATGTTCGCAGGGCTCGTAGCTCACCACTGATCTCTGCAGTCTTCTCTTGTAAATTACATGTAAATAGACCACCACTGAATACTGGCGACGAGGATGGGATAATACAAAGAAGACACATTGACGACATGCGAAGTCGGTTAGCCCAACATTTGGAACAATGCAGTTCAACATCTTCTCGAATTTCACGTTGTCCACTTTTCGACTCGGATCCCGATGAACAAAAAGATGTATGTGCCTCAGGCCAGGCATCTTCAGAGACGGAATTCTCAACAGCGAACACCTCTGGTGCGTTTTCACTTCCAGAGCCTACACCGATCATCAAGGGACAGGGCTCTGCTATGCCGAATACTGAACCGACATCAGAAAGTTCTCCTGGACCATCCTTCTTGTCTGTTCCGGTTCCTCTACCCAGAACACACCCCAAGCGCGTTACAAACAAACCAGTGCGTTTTCGAGAAACTGATTAGTTTTATCGAGAAGGGGGAAGTGTTTCGATGGGACTTCGTCGTCTTCATTTTTGCAATAGCCAAGACGCGTGGCCTCAGCACGGGCCACGCCTCGCGCACTGCTCCTGGTTGAGCTAGCGACATGTTCGCAGGGCTCGTATTTCACCACCGATCTCTGCAGTCTTCTCTTGTAAATAATATGTAAATAGACCACCACTGAATAAAAGGGCAACGTAAAGGAAGGCCGGGGAGGAGGAAGCAGATAAAACTCTGCAGAGAGGAGGACGTTTCTCTTTCTCCTCTCCAGCGTTCAGTCTGCTTCTTTTTCCCCGCCCTCCTTTCCCTCACCCTACCTTCTTGAGCTGTAACTTACTATAGTCCGTTGCAACTCAGTAATATGGTGCAAGGGAAAGAAAAGGCGCGGGATGAGAAGCAGATGAACACTAAAGTGAAGAAAAAATTTCCCCCTCTCTTCTCCAGTGTTCCTCCTCCCTGACCTTCCTTTCTCTCGCCCTACCTTCTTGAGTTGCAGCAGACTATATAGTCTCAGCAGGCAATGGTGTACTATCGCAGTCAACGAGCTGAAATGACCCTACACATGGCTGGAGCAGGCAATGGTGTACTATCACAGTCAATGAGCTGAAATTACCCTACACATGGCTGGATAGATAAGTAAATGGAGCTGAACCCCATTAATTGGGTGGTAGCTCATGCCACTCAAGTCATTGGCTCACGCCAATGACTTCTTAATTTGTTTTTCTAGCAGCCCAGGCAAAAAGGAAATTTATTTACGGTAAACTTCCTGCACTTTGTTTCCTCTTTTAAGTTTATATTATCTTCTCGCTTGTTATTTGAACTTTAAACGCTCATCAGATATTTTTCTGGAAATAGGCGTTTGTCGATTCATATATATGGCAAGCAAGTTTGGCTGCCCCTTGCACGGGGGTACGGCGGCGAGCTCCAAATGGAGGATATAGCGGGTACACGCAGAGGCTGAAGTTAGTCCGCTCCTTGCACAGAGGGTGACCTGGCGTCAAGATGCCGATCTTCGACGGCGTCTGTGAGTGATACCGATAACTGCCTTGCCTTTTCTACGGTTGTCAGAAATTCATTAGTGCCTTATGAACAAGGACTCTGCCTAAGTCAGTGTCTGAGGACTGTCTTCTATGCGACATATTGAGCCGCAGTCACGCATTCATCGTAAAAGAAAGTCTGCAGACTCTGTATGATGCGTGTTTCTTTCTCGTACGACGGTCCTGTCGCTTTGGTTGTACAAAGACTGTCGGGAGACGTGCTGGAAGCACACATATACAAAGCAAGCACGCTTTGAATGCGTGTGAGATGCGTCCACAGATGGTTCCGCTCTCGCGCCTAGGGCAAACGCCGCGTCGTTTGTACGATTTACGAGCGGTGTGACCGTGGTTTTCCTTTGCTTTATTGAGCCCCAAACGCTGTGACGGGGGTGCCTCTCCCTCAGAGCTACCTGAAGCAGATCCTGGAGGGGATTCTGTTCTGCCACCAGCGGCGGGTGCTGCACCGGGATCTGAAGCCGCAGAACTTACTCATCGACCAGAGGGGCAACATCAAGGTCGCAGACTTTGGGCTGGCCAGGGCCTTTGGCATCCCCATGCGCGTCTACACCCACGAGGTGGTCACCCTGTGGTACCGGGCGCCCGAGGTGCTGCTCGGTGCATCCCGCTACTCCACCCCCATCGACATCTGGAGCATCGCCTGCATCTTCGCTGAGATGGTCAACAGGAAGCCCCTCTTCCACGGCGACTCGGAGATTGACCAGCTCTTCCGCATCTTCAGGTACCTTTTTCGCAGTCACCCTTCAGAGGAGTTTCGTTTAACGCTTTAACACTTGTGAAAAAAAACATTTTTTTTTTGTCGAGTTTTTTTTTATTTTTTATTTTTGCCTCTACCTTGTCTTTCTTCTCCATCTCGGGGCATGTCCGTGAGGCACGTCGATGTCCGGCGTCTTTGTGCTGACCGTGTGCCTGTCGACTCTTCCAAACTTTCCAGGAAGCGCACGAATGCAGACCCTGTTTTAATATTCTGCGAGTCTTGCCTCTAATTCTATGGAAAGTGGACTCTACTTGCAAAAGAAAATGCGGAAAGTGCCGAATAACTGTTCCATTCACTGCAACATTGCTACCCTCTCGCGTCCCTTTCTCTGATAGCCACTTGTCCACGAGCAAAAACCCTTCGTTCTTGGCATGTTGTGATTTTTGCTTCTCCAAGCGTTGTTTCTTATGTTGTATTTTTGTGGTTAGTTGCATTCAAGCGCACAGGCTGTGCATGCGACACCTTCTACATGTTGCAGCTGGTTCGAATTAGCAACTGTTTTTGGCTTTCCTTTCTTTTGCCTGGAAATTAAGGTTAGATCTTTTCTTTTGGTTCACTCAATAGCAATAGTAATACTGTAAAATGCTGAGCAAGCTCCCCACCCAAAATTGGCGGGCAATCTTGAAAAATGAAGGGAGGGACAGGCATGAAGGGTGTGCTTCACTGCTTTGGTCCATGATGCTTGGAGAAGAGTGACTGATTATGGAGCACCCAGGTCAGCTAGGTGAGCTCAGAAATCTGGTGTGGGCTGATATGTCCTTGGTTTTCAAGCATCTCAAAAGCAGTGGGTGGACACTTATCATCACTTTTGTGTATGCTTGATATTTTACAAAAATAATAATGTTTATTTTTATTTAAAGACATAGGCTTATGCACTGGTTCATCTTCAAACCAATGCACCATGACTACGGACATTGGTCACTACTATTCCTTAAAATGTATAAAAGAACTACTGCTAAAATAAGTTTTTTTTTTCATAAATTTGAAATTTTTATGTGGAAGTCAGGCAACAGTGTTCAAAAGTCAAACTTTATTGAATTTTACCAAAAGTTCAGAGGCTTCGGATCAGTCATTTTCAACATTCAACAAATGTTTGTGACATCCCAGGGGTTCTCCGCACTGTAGGTGGCAGTGGTTTTGTCGCCCGCCAGTCCAGCTGGCCGTCCTTCTCTATGGTGTGTCGCCTACCTCAATATTTTGCCAACCCCGAATGAGATGACACAGATTTCGCAAATGCATAATGCCCCATGTCGTCATGTTTGCCAAACTCCCGTGACTCAAGACAAATACAAATCCTGGTGAACAAAATCATTGCTGCATTGAATAAAACAAAACCAAAAAGTTGTTGCACACATTAATTGCCGCCTCCAGGCCAACCACCGAAAAATTGTCAGATGTCCACATCTCGAAAATTTCTGGGTAGACCTCATGACCTCATAAAGCGTAAATCACAAAAGTCGGTAAAGATCATTAGACGTCGGTGCTACATAAGCAGACTGTTTTTCACTTACTGAGTTCGAAGGCACTGTAAGCTTTAAATTCAGAGGGCGAATGGAAAACAAAAGAGGGTGTAGAGTGGATGCCAGTGCTCACAGCTTGCATCTCTCCAGGACCCTCGGAACGCCGACAGAGGAAACGTGGCCGGGAGTGGCCAAGCTGCCAGACTACAAGCCCTCATTTCCCAACTGGAAGGAGAACATCCTCCACAGCCTGCTTGGAAATGTGGACACCAAGGCCATCGACCTCATTGAGGTAAGACCGCCAAGATTTCAAATTTAGATATGGTCAGATTCTCGCCAGTGTCCGGCAGAAAAAAATGACTGTGTTTATCGACCTAAATATATAAGCTATGCATCGCAGAAGGCTGAAACTTCGTGAGAATGTGACGCTAGCGGTGGTGATAGAGTGCTCAAGTTGGAGAACAAGATGTTACCTGGATCAAAAGATAAAAGAGAGACAATATTTCTTTATGAGCAGCCTTCCACCTAAGCCTTGTATTGACAAAATAAGACATGACATTGTGGGCACCTGTAGTATTTTTTTCAGCAAACATAACCTGTCAGCAAGAAAGAAAATAATACTCTTTCTTGCTTCCAAGTGTTATTCACTGATATAAATGCAGCATGCACCCACAGTGTCGTTTCTTGTTGTGACAGCATTAGGCCTAAGTGGATGTCGGCTTGTAGGGAAATTTAGTCTTCCTTTTTTTTTAATGATTTAGGGAATGCCATGTTCTCAAACCTTTGCGTTCTATCACGACTGCTAGTGTTACATTCTCACAGAGTTACGGTTTTCTGAAATGCATAGTTTTTTTACACGGGCCAAAAAATATGGTTCTTTTATTCTCCCAAACGCCCATTATTTTTGTCGCCGCATGGCATCTAATTTGCTCTGTTTCCTTCCAGAAAATGCTGGTCTACAATCCACTGCAGCGCATTTCTGCACGGGGCTGCCTACAACATCCATACCTTGCCAAATGAATGGCAAAAGCCCCGCTCCTCCAATAGGGGTCTTCCCCCCTATTTTTTAGTATTGACAACTTCTACTCCGCTGAGGGCCCGTCGGTGAAAGATGCTTGTCTGATTTTAATGTATTTTTTGTCTGCGTACGAGATTTTTTTTTTTATGTCTGTATGAGATTTTTTTTTAGTGTTCCAGAGATATGTATTGGACAGAATTTGATGTAGACTCGCAGTGGCCCTATGGAGGACATTCTCTGTAGGCTTTTCTTTTTCCTAACTGCTCGTGCAGCTTTATGCTTTAGATGAAGTGGCGTGAATGTTTTATGCTGTCGTGCATGAATGGCTGTACCTATTTTCACGTCTTTGCGCATTAAGTTGGAGGAACGTGTGGCGAAAGCTCGGGTGCTTATGAGAGTAGGTACGGCAATTTGTTTGCAATGCACAAGATATTTGCAGCAGCTTGTGACCAAAATGCAAGGCTGTGGAAGGAGGCCAGAAAAGTTGGGACTTAAATTGCCAATAGAAAAAAAGAAGAGATCTGCTGCCTAGTTGTGCATATTTTCGAAAACGTGAAGTAACTACATTTTGTCCAACTGTCTCGTAAGAGCAGAAATGCAGAAACAGTTCAGGTTTTAAAACAGATGGCACACTTTGTTCTATTAATCTTTCTTTTCTGCTCGACAAAAAAAGAAAAAAAAGTGTCCATTGTGAAATTGTTTTTAGATGCAAAAACAAACAAGTACTTCATTTCCTAGTGTCTTCTATCAATCTTTATATTGAACCGCTCCCTCGCTTAATTTTGGGTATGTTTTTAAACAGTTTTATCGAATGTCATATGATATCCAACTCGTGTGCAAATTTTAAAAGTCCATCTTTTATACAAGTCTATAACCTCCAGCTCAATAAACGTGACTAGCAATTTTGCTTGTTGATATTCCTTTGCAGTATTACAGCGGTTGCGTTTCTTAACCGCAAAAGTAAACTGTGCATCGCCAATTGCTCATTGTCTACCCGATTATAGCACTAGAGGTCCGAACCACATGCCAAAGTTTTAGCACTAACGGTTAATTTATTAAAAAGTTGGTGATTTTCTGAAATTTTCAGCGAGAAAATGGGGCCCGTTCTCATCCATTTTCGGTAACTGGCGCCATAGAGCTCCATGTATTGGAGCTCTGTTGGCTGCCATTTTCCCATTCAAAATTTTAAGAAAATCAATAACTTCTGAATAAGTGCTGACAATTTGCAGTCTGGTTTGGACCTTTAGCACTTCGATTGGGGGAAGAATGAGCGTTAGGCGATGCATAGTTTATTTTTGCGATGAAGCAACCATGTATTTTTTTATTTGAGGGACATCCTGTATTTTATTATTTACGATGTCTGCTGGGATCTTTCCTTTCCAATAGTAGAGGTGCATACAATTTCCTTCCCAAGTAGTTGAAAAGTCCCTTTATTAAATTTGCGCTTTGCATTTCGTACTGCCAACCAGCACTTGACAGGGTGCTCCGCTGCCATTTGCTTTCAAGCGCTGTACGAGGCATGCGTCTCGTGCATTGGCGCATTGTAAGGCAAAGATCAAGGGGCTTTAGCTGAAACCACTCGGATAGTTCAATGCATAATGATGGAATTATAGCCGGATAGAACACAAAAAAGACAGTGCAAGGGGGAATAGCTTGCACGAGAAAAAACGTCGAAAAGGGGTATCGCCTCTCCACTTCAGCTTTCCTCGTTTTTGCCCTTTCCCCCTCACGCAGTACTGCTACAAGCATACTTTTTTTTTTTTTTTTTTTTTTTTGTGTGTGTCGGGGATATGGATATATATATATATTTTTTTTTTTTCAGGGGTTGATATTATACTGTTAGTCAGGCTGAGTGGGTAATGAGCATCTAATAAAACTGGGCCATACAATAAAGATGAGCATTTCTAAAAGCCTCAATTTCATTCATTCAGCTGAATAAAATGGATGTGCAACTCTGGGAGTCTTGTGATGTGCACTTGTTTCTTTGTCTGATCATAAGTAGCTCGGTGATGATGCAAGGTGAAGGTCGACACCGGGATGCTTATATTGGTGACGAGATATTTTAGTGGCATTGCTTCGCAGGCATCTTCCTGTGACGGGGCTTGTAGGATGGAAGCACACTACGCGCTATGTCAAAGCACAGAGTGGCTAGGTTAATTTGCATCTGTGCTGATTAAAAACGGTCTATTTATTAAAGAAACATGTATGACGTTTTTGTGAGTTACCTTTCATTGCTTTTATAGTAAACAAGCTTTAAAATTAATAAAAACAAGCCTGGAGCTTCAGCTTACAGCTTGGGCTGCGTGCATTACGGCTATTTACAGCCTAATTCTCGTTTGTTTTTATTTTCGAATCTGGGGAGGCTGTTGTAGAAAAGGGTTTTGCATTTGCCAGAGTAAATGATGTGCTGTCTTTTTAGCTGTGCATGCATGCACAGTTGTGTTGCAAGGTGCTGCACACTTGGTCTAGCTACATTGAGCTTGCCGATACCGAAGCTTCTATCCAAGTGTGGCTCAACAGTTGCTGACAAGCAAATGCGCAACTGGCTTTTAGCTCTTCCTGCATTGAATATGCTGCAAAAGCAGAAATTTTCATAAATTATTGAATTGTCGGACATGGCCCGTAATTCAGGCGATTGATTTTGTTCTATCCAATTTTTACTAAGAATTGTTTACAAATTTAAAATTGCTCGCTGAGAAGCATATCGTGCATTATGCACATTTGGGTCCGCAAATTTAAACTTGCAAACAGTAGTAATTCATAACAGGTTTTTCCCACTTTTTTTTCACGAAGTTGACATTTCGCGTCAACTTGGTGAATAAGCAGGGATTTAATTGAAAGGGCTCCGGAAGGCCAGCCACTGCCTCTTACTGACAGTTATTTTGAGGAAGCGTGTAAGAGGTTATCAAGTTTTACTTCCCCATTTTACTTCTGCCCGAATCATAATAAAAAAATATGCCCTATTTCCCATGGTAGATGTTGTGGGGTAAGGCACTGGATATACATACATCTTTTATATATATCATACAGCTTTTTGTGCTGGGGTAGAGAACAGCACACCACCATACCAGCAATTCAACGGCTCAGCGCCAAAAGTGTTTGTTAGCACGACTACGCGTGCCGTAGTTTCAAGCTTTGGTAAAATGTCCCACAAAGATCACTACCCCAAATATATGTAACGCGTGAAACAGGCTTCGCCGTGCGTTACGCAAACAGCGCATGAGGCGAACTGACGAGCCGAGGAATCCCAGATATGCGCGGCCTGTCTCCTTCTGTCCTACCCGTGACGTCACAAATGATAATGATGATGATAGCTAGAGAAGAGCCCCTGTAGTTCACGCACGCTGAGTTACAACACACAATAATGGAAGTTTCGATGACGCGCGGAAAGTAATCCACTGCATATTTCTGTTTGTTAAAGAAAGAAAGATGGGAGGCACTCACTTGATCGAATGACGTTTTAGCGAACGCCCACGTTTCATCGAACGACACTTTAGCGAATAGTCGGATGCCGCGAAGCGGCGTTTTCGGGTGGGCCAAGTGAGTTCATATTTTTGTAATGAGTTGCCGTAGACTCGCCGCGAAGCGGCGTAAAGCGCAGCGCGACGGATGGGTTAACGCGCGCCCCCGTTATTCGCTAAAACGACCATTCGCTCAAATGTCGCCGTTCGCTAAAATGTCATTCGCTCTTCTGATATGGACCCCAACAATTTGATTTCTTTAGTTGCAGGAAAGCTATCCCATATTCTTCAAGTAATCTTTATTGCACCGCTGGTACAGACTAGAGCACTATATAGCTCCTTCGGAGCAGAGTAGCGCAATCTAGAACGTCGTCTTTCGGCGACTAGCGGCGAACGCCCGGAGGTTCCAACTGCGGTCAGAAATGCATGGAGAACGTGAGAAAATCGTTGTTTCTTCAGTTTTGTGGGGATGTGCGGAATGGAAATCATTTTTGACATAATAATGAAACATTTTGGAATAATATGCGATAAGTTTTGTGCCATACAAGGACGTAACTTTTTTTTTAAAAATTGCCTGAGCGGCGTCATGCAGCAGACGACACGGCGACGTCACACCATTCACGTGACCCGCTCTGGCCAACCCGAAAAGCCCATCTCCGCTGCGAGCAAAAATCGTCTGCTCCAAACGCCATTGCCTTGGAAATTGCCTTCTCAAAATTTGCACACGCATCCGATATTATTAAAACTTTGATAAAGTGTTTAGCGCTTTACTAACTTCACGACAGGCTAGTTTTGAAAAATATGAACTCGCCGTTAGTTTTTTAATCAGCCGCGTTATGTCGATCTCCATGTATTATCCCATAGAGCGGGCCGCCTCCTGGAACCCTGAGTACCACGTGACTCGCGCCGAGCCGCTCTGTCGGCCATGTTGTCGGCAAAACACGGGGTTCAAAGGATTGCGCTACTCTGCTCCGTAGGAGCTATATAGTGCTCTAGTGACCAGATTCTCAGTCCCAGATTCTATGAAAAAGCATGCTGTTAGAAATGGCGGTGCCAACTGTCGCCTCACTTGGCTTTCTGCATAGCACATTAACACTCATTTATTCTCCTGACGCTCATTACACTGCCTGTGAAAGCGCCGACCTGCCATACATATGTTCAAAGGCGTTTAGAAATTACTGAGCTTTTCTTTTTTTTCCTATATTCAGTGCTTACAAAAACAAAAATCTTTCACCAGCCTATGTCCGTTACATAGGGGGCGCAAGACACACCCTTACTCAGTTGAGTAGATTTTTATTTCCTTATCTAGTGAGTTTTACGTTTTTATATCTAGCCATTGTTGTTTGTGACGTCAGGAACGTTACACGATTTTGAAACGAAGCCGCTTTTCTGAAAGCTTTTCCTATTTCTCAAGCAACCACCAGTGACCACCAGTAACCGCGACGAGAGGCATTGGATGTGCTGCCGCTTTGGCCGCTTTTCAAAAAGGCGACGGTTAGATTAGGAGTTCACTGCCTACACAATCTTCCGAAGTCCGTCGTCGTCACCAAGCGCAGTAATGTAAGTAAATTGCATTTACGTTTAATGCTTTTTTTTTAGCCTCGCACCCAACGGAAAAGGGAAGCGTTTGCAAACCTTGCTTTTTGTCTGAAATAAGAGTATCCTGTGCTTCGCTCCTACCACGGTGCCTCCTACGCAGGGCATTGAACGCAGATTCTTGTTTTTACGTTAGAGTTGTCTCTTTCCAATTTTGTATTTTGCGCCCCTGGCTGTGTAAAGGGCCGCCCACACTAGCGAGAAAACGCGCGTGGCACGCCGATCGCGGCAAGTAACAAAATGTCGCCGAAGCACAGTCAGCGCCACGAGCGCGTGCAGAGACACGCCCTTTATCTTCCCGCTTAACCGATTTATCGGCGCGCCGGGCGCGTTTTCTCGCTAGTGTGGGTGGCCCTTAACTCTCAAACAAACTACAAACATGCCGAATTCATTTAAAAAAAATAATTTCCCTTTTCTTTTTTTTTTAGCCTGAATGACGATGGAAGACTACACAAAGGTCGAAAAAATCGGTGAAGGTTGGTGTTCGGCTTCTTTTACTCGAGTGCACGGTTTTGTTGTTAGACGTATTGAGTTAAAGCCTGTTTTGTATCTTTTACAGGAACGTACGGTGTAGTCTACAAGGGAAAAAACAAAAAAAGCGGGCAAATCGTAGCCATGAAAAAAATCCGCCTCGAAAGCGAAGACGACGGTGTACCGTCCACCGCAATTCGGGAAATCACGCTTTTGAAAGAACTCAACCACCGGAACATTGTAAGGTAAATCCTGTTTTTTCGTGTTTTTTTTTTTTTTGTTTTTTCGCGTACTACAAACAAATGACTTCTACTTTTGCTATGGCACATGCTATTGGTTTTACTCGGACGAAAGGCAGATAAACCTTTGCCTGACAAGCTCCAGTCATATGTTTTCATTGTGCTCAACTAATGATGTGCACTTTTTTAATTCAGGTTACAGGATGTAATAATGCAAGAGAACAAGGTGTACCTGGTGTTCGAGTTTCTTTCGATGGATCTCAAAAAGCATCTTGACACGCTTCCCAAGAACCAAAGTATGGACACAAAGACAGTCAAGGTATGGCTTGCCCATTGCACCTTGCATCTTTCATTTCAGCTGTTCATCTTCAGGGCTGGCGTCAGTAGTCTAAGCACCCATCAGCTACTCGTTTCATGGGCCTTATTTTTTCTGGGCTATGTGCCCACTGAGATACCCAGTAAGGATCAATTGTTGTAAAAATCCTCCAGTGGCCAATCCTAAAGGGGCTGTCACCCCACCCCCCTCAAGAACAAGAACAAAAATTTCTGGAATTAGCCAGTTGACTTTAATGATGTACGCCAGCCACACCTCATGGAATTTTTCCAAGTTCTATCATCTCTCTTTAAAGGACAATGTTAGTCGTCGCTCTGAGGCCATTTTGGTTTAGGCAGCCCCATGTGACACGACGGCAATGGCCGGCATAATCTCCTTAGTGCCGTCTGCCATGACTGACCCTCCCGGTCTCTCCTGCTGCCTGGATTAGTGCCCCCCACTTAACTCGGAACCGATAAGTGTAATTTGGCCCTTCTAAAACCAACGTCCGGGACCGTTACTGCTATCCTCCTGGGTTGGTCTCTCCACCACGTCACAGATTTCGTAATCACTGGCCTCTATTGGGCATCCCGTGCTCAGAGCTGATCTTCAATCGCCTGCCTATCTATTATAGATTCAATTGTTAGCTCCGGTGTTTAGTTCAGTAGTGGGGTACAGTATGGAATCCATATAAACTGCAATGCCACATTCTCAATGACCGCATCGTCGCATTTTGCCAGAGAGAGATTGAAACAAAGTTTTTTTATTCTTGAAATTACACTGTGGCAAAAAAGATTCTTGGTCGGCGGCATGGTGTGCGAGCGTACTTGGGTCCCACTAGTGCCAATAAGCTTGCATAAAGTGAGGAACATTCCAGTTCAATATCCCGGGCCCTTTGAACCCAATATTGTGTTGTGCTCCACCCTGTTATCTGATCCCTCTTGGTGTCTTACTGCAGAGCTACCTGAAGCAGATCCTGGAAGGGATCCTGTTCTGCCACCGGCGGCGGGTGCTCCACCGAGATCTGAAGCCGCAGAACCTTCTCATTGACCAGAAGGGCAACATTAAGCTGGCCGACTTTGGGTTGGCCAGGGCTTTCGGCATTCCGATCCGGGTGTACACCCACGAGATTGTCACGCTCTGGTACCGGGCCCCGGAGGTCCTGCTCGGCTCGCCACGCTACTCCACCCCCATCGACATTTGGAGCATCGCATGCATCTTTGTCGAGATGATCAACAAGAGGCCGCTCTTCCACGGCGACTCGGAGATCGACCAGCTTTTCCGCATCTTCAGGTGGCACTTTTTTCGCTGTTGTAGTTAAAATTACTGGGTGTCTGCTGTTTTTTCTTTTCTCCTTTAACGCTTTAGTAGTTTTTGTGTAGAAGGAATTGGTGTTAAAGGGGCCCTGCAAGGACTTTTTTTACTGGTTTTTAATTTGCACCGTACCATAGCGCACTAAACGTAGTAACTTAATGAAACTTTTAATTTCTCGAATTTCGCTTTATTTTAATAGTTAAGGCTAATTAAAATTACAAAAACAAGCAAAAATAACCTGCTTCATGACGTCCTTGGTCGCTTGAGTGGCCGTGAACTAGAGAAGTAATGAGCTCAGCGAGCGCTCTCGGCTGCGGCACTCCCATGTCGACGGCTAAAGAGGGCGCTACTAAAGCATGTTCTGGCTAGGCTGTATGAAGCGGGCAGCCAGGGTGGCTTGCATTGCATTTGCTGCGCGATTAAACACTAATTCGGCATGACACTTCATTGGCCACAAACGACAACAAATACGAGGTGAAGATCAGTTCACAACGGGAGCCACTTAGCGCTGCCATACCGCCAAAAGGCCAAACCGACTGGTTCCGAGCGTTCCCAAGGCCTTCGGCGAGCACCTTTGCTTGTGGCCTTGGGAACGCTCGGAACGGTCGGATCCTCCAGTCTATACGACTGCAGCGCCGCGCATACATCTGGGACTCTTCTACACTCGCCGCTTGTTGGTGCCTGATCCCACTACACCTTTCTAGTATGCGCCGCCTTTTTCACCGCTTGGTGGCGGGTATTTCAACGGGTTATTTCTTGTTTCTGTACTTTCTAAACTGCATTTGTTTCTTTTCTGATCTAAAATAGTGAACAAAAACTATGTTCATAAGTGATTGAGACGGTTCGCGCCACTTCAATTTTGTATTTCGACAAAAAGAAGCTTTTAGCGGCTCTGACCGCCAGGCCCAAAGACTTCACATATCGCGCGCTTTCGGCACCTCGGGTTGCCCCCATAGGTGGAGGAGGTTTCCGCATCGCCCTGTTAAACTGTGACTCACTGATATTTAGTTACTCTCTCCGTGCCTGCTGGCTTGCCCGAACCCCAAAAGACGTGGAAACCGCAAAAAAAGGTACACACTTAAATATGATTGCAGGGCCCCTTTAAGCTTTTTCTGTCCTCGATTGCTTTTCATTGCTGTAAAGGGATGGTCGTGTGTGTATGCTGCCTGTTGAACGCTGTGGAGGTTGCCTCTACTAAAACAAGCAGATGCGGAATTTTTTACTAGTGACGAATGGGCTATGTCCATTCGGTCGGGCATAATGCCCGACTGAAGAATTTATTCGGGCACTGTGTAACGTGAGAGAGAAGGCTTATCTTGTTCTCTGAATCCAGCTTTAGTTTCATTGTCCTTAGTGGACTAACAGGTGCTAGCGCAGGTGAGGGATTAGGTAACTGTTTGTGCCCTCCCTTAGGACTCTGGGCACTCCGACCGAGGACACGTGGCCAGGTGTGACCAAGCTGCCAGATTACAAGTCCTCCTTCCCCAACTGGTCGGAGAACATCCTGCGCAGTCTACTGAAGAATATGGATGATGATGGCATTGACTTGCTTGAGGTGAGTCTTTCACCGCTGTCCCATTGCCCAGGAGGTTTTCACCCGTGCTCTTTGCCCAGTAATCAAAGAAGCAGTTGCCTCTTTCACTTAGCCTGGTCTCCATACCTCGGCAAACCTCACTCATGAGGGCCTGCCCTCACCTTCACAGGTGAGGTGAGGGTGAGTGAGTTTCTGAACCAGGAAAATTCATGAGTGTGAGGGTGAGTGAGGGTGGTGAGTGTGTGAGGGGTGTGAAGGCCATGAGGGTGGTGAGTAGCGTGAGGGGTGTGAGGGCCATGAGTGCGTGAGAGGCAGGAGGGCGGTGAGTGTGCGAGTGGCATGAGGGCGGTGAGGGGTGTGAGGGCCATGAGTGCGTGAGGCCCCTTTCAGATGGAGCAACTTTCTCAGCTATTTTGGTGTTGCTGGCGGGTTGTTCCCTAGCTTTCCCTAGATCGACACGAATTGCTGAGGTCGGGTCCGGCTCGAAACAAGCGAGCAACTTGGAGCAATTCGAAGACTTTTGAAGCGGCTGCATCCAATCAGGGATGCAATATTTTCATGTGATACCTCGTACCGGTGATGATGACAAGAAAAAGACTTGGTTCTGGTTTGAAATTAGTTGTTTTTGGAAATCAGTTGTTTCAGAAAGATGCATTAGTATTCTCAATGAGATTTAAATGCGTAAAAATATGTTTATAGCATGTAATTGTGTGTCTAAATAGTGCAGGAAAAATAAGATATCATGATGATGATGGCAACTTGCAGCAATTGGTTGCTGTGTGTGAATGCGGGCGGCCCGTGTTGCTGGTGTTGCGACGTAAGTTTCTGGGCGAAATCGCCCCATCTGGAGCGGACCTGATTGGCTTGAGGGCCATGAGTGTGTGAGGGGCGTGAAGGATATGAGTGCGTGAGGGCCATGAGTGATTGAGGGGCGGTGAGGGCCATGAGTGAGTGAGGTTGGTGAGTGGCGTGAGGGCCATGAGTGATTGAGGGTCGTGAGGCACAGCACTAGTCCTGTTTAATTCCTTAATCTTTGTCTTCATTATGGATGGATGGATGAATGGATGGATGTTAATGGCTGTACCCTTTGTAACAGGCAGTAGCTTGCGCCACCTAGCCGAAGTCTAAAAAGACAAATATACAATTCCTCCCACCCTTCTAAGCCAATTTTCTACCCCCAACTATCACCGGGCAGTGTAGGATATCACCAGGATGACCCTTGCGGGATCGGGGAAAAAAAAACTAAAAACACCACCCCCCACCGCCTCACTTCGGCGAGGGAGTCGCCAATTTTCCTCTGGTCGAACCTAGTGTGCATTACCGCAACACCAGGCCCATTAAAGGACCGTGGTGAGACGTTTGGTAAAAGACACGCAGGAGGGAGTCCCAATTTTCCTCTGTCCCGCCTGTCCCCCCGCTGGGCTAGTTAGCTGTGCATCATTCAATTTTTCCTAGATAACTTCCACCAATCTTCTAATCGCCTTTTTGTGACTATAATCCTTTTCTCTTCCATCCCTCCATCCTTGCCAGCAAAACACAAGGCTGCGGCCCAATTCGTTACCCGCTCAGGGGGTGCAGGGCGAAGCCCCGTGCACTTCAAAACCAAATCGTCTAGTGGTTTGCTCTCACTATGGTAGGCAGCACATAATTTAGCCCTATACGTGCGTTCTTTGAGTGCTGTTTACCCCTTTTAGTGAAACTGTGTTCAAGGTGCTTCCACCACTCAATTATATATAATTGAGTTATGTTAGTTATGGTTATGGTAGAGGGTTTTTTTTCCGTGCCTAAAGCTCTTGCCAACATGTTGAGTGGAGTACAGGCAAACTAGGCTTGTTAAAACGGCAAAAATATTAGGATGCCGAGTCTGGAATTCGGTAAAAAATTTGTGGAAGTTGGGGAATTTTGTGGATGTCAGAGGGCAACTTCCACAACTGAAGTAGAGAAGAGAAAACAGATTTTGGCTTGCGTGTCCTAGTTGTGTTAAAAAAAAAGATAAATATTGGCATTCTAGCACCCCTCAAGTAACTCGCAGTCATCAGGGTCACACCTGGTCGCACTTCTAGTGATGTAATTCAGGGTGCGGTGTAGGTTCCCGTGTGCTCTCTCGGAGGACGCTTCCTCTCCCTCTCTGCTGACATTAGCGGGCGTTAGGCTGCAGCTTAGAGTCGAGTGAGGTCACATTAGCTTCTCGCCATGGTTCCTTCGGCTGCCACCTCGTGGCTGCAGGTGGGGGAAAAAGCTGGACTTTTGCTTTGCGATTATGCAGCGGAATCGCAACTTTTTCAATGATGTTTTCTCTATCCTCCTGGATACAATAACGTAAAAATGACGAGATGCGAATTGTTTTAATCTTAAAATCGTTGCACCCCACCTTTAAAGATATTTTTGGTTCAGAAATCCCTCAAACCGGCACAAATATGAGGGTGAGGATTAAATGCGAGAGTACCAGCTGGCTAATTGCAAGCGAGAATTAATCCGATTGTACATGACTTGCAGAAAATGCTGGTGTATGACCCGGTCAGGCGGATCTCTGCAAAGGACTGCTTGGATCATCCATACTTGAACGACTAAACGAGACTTCAACATCTATTTTTAATCCATGACTTCCTCGTGCTACATCTGTGAGGAACGGCTTTTAGTGATTTATGGGTGTGGGGTTTTTTTTTTGGTTTTTTTTGTATTTTGTGTAACTTCTGCCTTGTAGTTTTAAATCATCCATTTTTGTTTGTTTTAGCTTCCTCTTCATATATGGGATGAACAAAATTTTTCCTTCCTCTTTAATTTTTTCTAAAAATAGTTAAAAAGTTTTATTGGGTATCATGCCAAGAGATGGTATTCAAGTTTTTAAAGCCTCTCTCTCTCTCTCTCTCTCTCTCTCTCTCCCCCCCCCCCTTCCATCTTTTGCTGCTTCGTTGTGTAACTTCAGACTCCATAAAAGTGACAAAACAATCATGTTTATTAATAAATCTCTTCTGCAGTATTACAGAATTGTTTGTTTGTGAATACTGGACAGTTTGTTCAACTCTTTATGACACAAGTTTCCATCGTGTGTGTAGTATTTTTGTGCAGGGAGTTGTAGATTACAGTGCACGGATATACTAACAATAGTAATACAGTCGTAGAGGGGAGATTTGTGGTGTTTTTGTGGGTTGTGTCGATCCCACTTGTGCTTTGTACATTGTGTTTTCTGCCCGAGCTCTCCGAGAGCTTGCAAGGTGGCAATGGTCTTTCACGAGTTTGGAAGGGTCAGAGATATGTGAAATTTGTATTGTATTGAGTTAAATATGTTTTGAATTCTTTCAAAGTAGTTAAATATTTTCAGTGGTAAACAAAATAAAAGTACTGCATATCCTGTTTGTTTCCCTGTATGTCAGTTCTCAGCTCTGATGTGCTAGCTGCCAGTTAGTCATGCTGCTGCATGTATTCCGGAAGACTGGGGAGCCTTGCTTGGGCATTTTCGTTCAGGAAGTTTTCAGCCTGGAGAACCATTTTCTAGAAATGGAAGAAAGTTACAACTTTATCATTTGTAGAACATTGCTAACCCGGGTGGGCCATCAAGTGCCAATACATATCAGCAATGTCAAGGCGTCAAACTCTTTCGTAAAAGAAATAAAATGAATGCAACAATTCATCTATGAACCTTGCAGAAAGCAGAGTTTGGCTTACAAGGATTGCCGGAACCTTATGAAATTCAACGAAATTCACTTGAACCAACCTTGTTCGACATATGTAGACAAAAACTTAAACTTCCTTTTTTACATTCTGTATTGTCTTTCATCCTGTGTTATGATTGAGGAAAAGGCTAACAAAGAAATTGGTTTGGGCACACAGTACAGTTCAGCATTGTCTCTAGAAAAAAACTGGTTGCCAGTTGTGCTACTACTACTGTTGTTGCTTTCAGGGTAAGAATGGCAGCGAGGTGTCTCAGTTGTCCCGACTCCTGTGCAGGCTTCCTATCTTTGGTAACTTGTTCTTGGCCTATCCGCATATCTGGGTAGGCACATTGGACAGTGCCGTCTTGGCCCCAAAGCTCTCCACAATGCTGCCGCAAGTTGTGCAGCTTCTTAAGTTGCTCGTTAATTATTGTCATTAAAAGTGATAAAAACATGTCAATGATGCTTCGGCGCCTCGCGATACTCGAGCATGCACACGCAGCCAAAGTTTTACGCAGCACAAGTGTGTGTTGGAGACTGGGCACCCGGAAAATAAGACTCCCCGCAGTTACCATTTTGTGCTGATGGCTTCTTACCATTGCAGTTGCAACTTTTGGTTTGAGTTGAAAGTCCAACCTCATGGCTTCTGTTTTCGGCTTATTTACAACAGTGACATTCTTCTCTTGGGGCACGAAGCCATCCTTCGACACCCTCACTGTGTAGTTTCCAGGGATGAGAAGTCTCCAGTATTCACCATACTTGTCTAGAAAGAGGGGCGGTAAAATACTCGGACATGAAGTTTCACACTTTTCTGGACTTGCATTTTATAGTTCTTTGCATTTATAGCACTACAAGTGCTATAAACAGCACTTGTAGTGCCAACATTTGTTCGCTTGTAGTTTAGGCAGAAGCTTGGTTCTTGTAACTATGGTACTTGTTGTGCAGACAGGCTTTACAGTATTTTAATGCTGATAGCGTATGACAAGTGGGCATCTCAACAATATTTGTTGATAGATTTATAATTTTCATTTTGGGGAAAATCCACGAATGTTTTCTAACTTTGTCTGTGAAATATTGGTGTACGATTAGCAGGGCATGGAACGCATGGCCTTTGGTACATGTTGCACTACCTAGTGACTGATAAAACTGCAGAGTGGAGAGGAGGCTGCCAGGATGTATGCTTTCTGAGGCCCACACCCTTGGAGCACCTCTTTCCTCTGCACAGTTTTATCACTTCCAGATAGCGCAGCATGTACCAAAGGCCTTGCGTTTCATTCCTTGCTTGTAGTACATTTGTGACCATCCTAGAGCAGACACCCTATACTTAATGTCACTAGTTGCGTGCAGTACAGGCAAAGGCAACGCCAGGCGTGGGGAGAAAGGCAAGCACTAGAAAGGCTGGGGAGTAGGACAAAAACCTCCTTTCCTCTCTAACATTCCTAGTAACCTTCCTTTCTCCCCTCGCCCTCCATTTCCCTCCTCTTCCGTCCCGGCTTTCTAACGTTCGCCCTTTCCCTCTTCGGCTGGCATTGCCTTTGCCTGCACTGTACGCAACTAGTGACTCTGAGTAGTCTGCAATTATTGGTCCAAAATGCAGGGGAATGATGCTAGAGGGTAAAGCAATTTCTACTATTTCTCCTTGTGCCTACCACACGAAAGCCTGGTTCTCATTTATACAAGTGATACTTGAATGACCTACTTTTTACTTGAAAAAAAGAAAAGCATGTGGATGTTTAGCAGCATCTTTTGTTTAAAACTGCTGCACGGTTGTTGAAGTGCATATATTACCTGTGAGGACATTGTGGCGGATTGGCTGGCCCTGCCCCCCGGTGATGTTGAAAACCTCCACCGCTGCATCAGTGACCGGCATTCCTGCCAGGTTGTCTGTAACAATCCCCTTGATTCCAATGTGTGCCTGAAAGCACACACAAGTGGATCTCGTTTAATGTCCTGGTTGGTGTATGGCACCCATCAAATCATTAATCAAACAATTTCTGCACCGTGAAAGTGCTATTAAAGATTGGACAGAGCATGGAACAGATGCAGATGATATTGCTGATGATGTGCAGCAGCGCAGATGATGTTGCTTTGATGGCTTTGAGCGAAGGTGGCTGAGAATTCAGTGAACATGGGCAGACAATGTGGTATTCAAGTTCTGCAATAAAAAGTTGGGAGCTATGAGATTCAACTCTTTCCTGACAGTGTACATAGGACATCGATCACCGGTGATCAATTGTTTCCAAACGCTGTCAAGAAATTAAATTTAGTGCAGAGAATTATGTTCAACGATCTCCCGAATAGCCGAAGAACTAGTTTCGGTTTCAGCGTAGGTTTGACCTTCATGTGGCTGTCAAAAATAGTCCCGGGAGTGTGGTTTCACTTGTCTAAAGGGGTGTCCAAACAGGACACTACAAAACGCACGACTCCGACAAATCGTGAAAATTGAAGCGGGCGCGTAGCGGGCGCGTCCGCTTCAATTTTTACCATTTGTCGGTGTCGTGCGTTTTGTAGTGTCCTGTTTGGACACCCCTTAACACGGCTAGTGGATATTTTTCCAGTAAGCTTCTGTGCATGCGTACACTCCCGCTGTCGCCATTTTCGCAGAGCACCGTCGCGGTGCCCTGCGAAAATGGCGACAGCAGCATTGTCAGCATCTATCTTTACATGTATTTTGTCTATTTTGACGCTTTGTTTTTTAGTATCGGTAGTGTAGGGTATAAGTACTGAAAACTGATACAACGGCACGATGCCAATGTGTTTTGACGGGCGGAGGCATGTTGGGCTTCTCTTCATTTGTAGTTCGCAGACAACTCCCCCAGACAGCGCTCATCACTCGAAAAAGGTCCATTGCTTGCATCAGTCTTCCTAACAAAGATGGGATTATTTACATAATTCCACGAAATTGTGGCATATTTTTTAGACCTCAAGAGCCCGGGGAAGCTTTAAATGGTGTTGGAGGGGTCGGTTGTTGATAACCATCACTATAATTTCCAGCGCTGTCCTGAGCCTGCATGCACGTTTCTTCCAAAAAGGTGGACAAAAATGCTAAATATAAACACTGCAATCAAGGCTATGACAAAACCAAGGTAGAACACAAAGAAAGCATTCTGCTGGGGATGTGAGGTGTACTATGTGTGTTTCACCAATATAAGCATTCCTTCATAGAAAAGCACACGTGTTGCGGAGGCTAACAGTCCAGCGAACCAAAAATAGACACTAACTTTCAGAAGTAATAGTTGCAGGTGTGGGACACATTTCGTATATTCTGATTTACTTTCATGTGTCATTTAATTCGGCATATCTGTAGAAGTTTCGATGTTTATACGCCTTCTGCATGTACATTGTGTTTTCAAGAAATACAAATCTAAATCTTTTTTTTTTTTTTTCACAATATGCCAACCTCTGTTTCCTTTGAAAGAGCACCTAATTGGCCACATACCAATGTGTCATATTACTGTATATGCAGATTAGTTAAGAAAAAAAAATATTTTCATGGATCCTTTCAAAATGGCTATCTTTCCTGTGGTCGGGAAAGAGAATGATAAACAAGACAACTTCTGCACAGATCACTTATAAAATGAATTAGTACAGGTATTTGGGAGCATAGAACAATGAAAGCACTGAATGACTTGCAGAGCATGAGAAAAATACAATTAAGGTTATTTGGGAGCCAATGATAAAGGGTAGAGCGATCGAGTTTTGGCAGGTATGTAGGGGTCAGGGGGTCATGGTGCCACAACTGACTTGGTAGTGCAGTACTGTACATCCTTTGAAGGCAGGGAAGCAAGCAGCAAAATAGTATTTGAGTAGGGGGTGCAATGGAAGACACTTGGCCAACACCGGGAAATATGAACAGGATAGGATGTCAGTTAAAAATACAACAAAAAAGTTGAGAGACAACTAGGACTTCAGAACGGCAAGAAGCGGGTATAGGACACGAAAAGATATAATAGGATATTTTTAATTATATTGACTTTGCTATTCACAGATGGCACAACATCTAACAAAACATTGAAGGCTTCTTTGAGACGAGCACCCAAAAGTGGTACCATCTGTGTTGGCATCAACCAGATGGTTTATTGTTTTTGTTTCCTCCCTAACCATAATTTTTTTTAAGCTTGTTTTTTTGTTTTTTTTTCGATTTTTACACTCAAGAAATTTGAGTATGATAAATGCACCACCTAAAGACATCTTTGTGTAAAGTTTAATTGCATTTCGTTCACTGGCTTTATTATACTACTAATTTGTTTACACCCAAATAGCGCTTGTCGGACATTGCGCTAGATGACATATAGGTTTCTGCTTAATTTCTAATATGCTTAAAGGACGAAGTTTAGGCCTGGGGAGGGGTTTGTTTAAGAATACCTAAACACCATTTCACTATGCTGCGTGCAACAGTGAGAGAGAGTATAGAAGAGAGGAAGATGTGGGAATCTCTCACCTGCCACGTGAGACTCAACAGCGACTGCTTGTTATCTTGCCACTCGGTTTCCAATTTGGAAGGAGGAGGGTACTTCGAACACCCAAGCTCTACCGTAATCTCGAAGTCGTTGGATGCCAGGTAGTTGAAATCTTGCATCCCTGGAAAGCAGTTGTGTACAGTGAACTTCATAAAAACAAATGCAGAACATTGTTCTCCTAATCTTTTATTTTTATTTTTTAGATTACTTTTTATGAGATAGGTTCGAGGTTGTACACTATTTTAGAACCCATATTTATTCCACTTTTAGGTCTATAGGTACATTCTCATGCAGTTACTAAGAATGTTGATCTCCAGAATCTAAAATATGTTACGATGTTTCTCTGTATTGCATCAATTTAATTTATAAACAGCTCTGCTGCATAAATTCAGTTACTCCGAGATTGAGATTATTAGCTTTTAATTTTGTTTTCACATTTCAAGAAGAAAGACATAATCTTGAACAACATATTAAATATTTAACTTTCGTTGCGTTCGCAAAAATTAAGTATGCATCGCTGAACGCGCATTCTCCACTCAAATGTAGCGCGGTTGGGGTCAGATGCTAAAGTCTGAGAACCTATCGTTACCCGAATAAAAAGTTATTAGTGATTTTCTAAAAGTTTTCGTGATGGAATAACAGTGGACCCGCAACGCGCGGAGCACCTACTTCTAAAAATAGGTACCCTTTTCTTCTTTTCTTTTTTTTTTTTGAATTTTTTAGAATTGCTTGCAATCTTAGAATTTGGTTTCAACTGCGTTCTGGTGGAGACTGGGCTTTCGGGAATGCGTCGTTTGTTTTTGCGAAACGAAAGACGCGGTTCACTTTGTTCGTATCTACTCGCTACTTCAGTTTTCTAAAATGCTCGTGCCCGTTTAAAATCTTTGTTCGAGAAAGCAGCGGTTTATCTCCGTGGTTTATCCGGTGTGAAAGCTACAGATTTTGGTACTGTACAAGGTCCGTAGCGAAAACTCGGACCTTGTACATCCGGTTGTATACAGCTCAAACCTGTGTTTTATCCGAAACGCCCCAGTTCAAACCGGGCGGAATTAATGACTATTACAGTCAACAAGGTCGATGGATCGACAGGTTAATTATGGTAATCAACGAATTCGATGGATGTAGCGTTTCCCATGCAAAGGAGCAACGCCCTACCTCCAGCAACGGCGTACCACGCTGCTCCATTGGTTATTCCACCGTCTCCGTGGAAATCGTCGCTGCCGCATGACTCCCCGGCTTCCATTCGAGGGTGGTTGGAAGCGTAAACGTGAGCCAGGTGCCTGGGCGATGGAAGACGCCCGTTGTTTATTTTTTTTTTTTCGTTAACAAAGACATACGTCTGCTGCTAAGGGAATTATAACAGGTTTAGAGTTCACAGAACAGACGCTGGAGAGAAGGTCGTCTCCTTTCCAGCGTCCGCTAAGCTAAAGTGGAAAGAGGTGGGGATTTCTGAACTCTTGCTGTAGTTGTATTGCATACACAACGTGACGCTGCTAGCCCAAACAGGACTTCGGTGCATTTTCGCATTTTGCTCGGGCCATTTGCTGCTCATTTTATCATTTCGG